ATTTGGAACAGAAGTTTATGGTGGCCCATTCTATGACCATTCAACATTGAACATTAGACACACAGGGAAAACAGTTTGCTACACCGAGAGTAAATGAGAGGAAACTTAGCTAGACCAGATTAGGATGACAAAGTTGTGGCCTTCAAGAATAAGATTCGGCTGACATGACTCAGAGGGTAAAAACACATTTTACAAATGGCTGAGGACATTTGTTTGACTCCCCCGCCCCCAAAATCAGAATGAAGAGGTTACTCCCAAAAGTTGTCCTCTGACCTGCAGGTTTCCATGTATAGCATGCCAATACACATGAGCGAATATGTGAGTTCATGCACACACACACACCAGACACACACACACACGGTTCATTTATTTATTTAAAAAAAAAAAAGAAAAAGAAACCAGAAACCTGCTTTTATAATGAGACTGGAAATTTTGAGTGAAGGGTGCAAGGGAGTGTAAGAGGGATGTGAATTGTTTTGGCCCGTACCCAGGATGTAAAATAGTTATGAACCATGGAAGATGATATTTTCAAAAACGGCCACAGTAATCACCCAGCTGCCAGTATTATGCCTGTAATCAGACCACTTGAGGCTGAAGTAGGAGGACTGCCAAGAGATCCAGGCCAGCCTGGCTACGTAGTGGGTTCCAGGCCAGCCTGAATTATAGGAGTGAGACCCTTTCTTAATCTTGTCTTCCTCCCGAAATCACTGTCAGAAACTACAAACTGAATTAAATTAAAATGTTCATTGTTTGGGTTTGGGATAATTCATTAAGTGGTTAACCAACACAGGCACAAAGTATATAAGGTTGAGGATGGTCTCAGGCTGGGTAGGACAGAGGCAAATGGGAACTGCTGAGAAGAATGAGTTCAAAATAAATGGCTGTGGGGTTCAGGGTAGAAAGTAAAAACAGGAAAAGCAAGCAGAATTGAACTGGAAGCCTGTAAATGTCACTGACGCTAAACAGGTTTGGTGAGGGTGAAGGAATAAGAAACTAGGATTAAAAAGTTTTTTTCAGAATGTGGAATAAGTTGGTCACTGACTTCAGCTGAACAGCTCGTTGGAGGGAAGTGCAAGATATGGTCACAGAAGTGAGTAGCAACGATGACAGGCTTTTATAATGGTGCAAGAGTAGGGGGACAAAGGGTGTATGAAGCTGATGACAGTGGACTGTCAAAAACTTTCTTCAGAGTAGACACTGAGGTTTTGCTTGATGGTGAAGCCCCAGCGTGGGGGATCTGTCTGGAAATGTGGGAGAAAGCTGGCTTTTACTCTGTTCAAGAGAGGGTAGGAGAGAAAGAAGGGACTTCAAGAGAAGCAGTGCACTTGAGCAAAGCGCTAGACATTAAGACAGGGCCCAGAGGTGGCGTTGTTCTAGAAGAGTTAGAACTGTAATTATGTCAGGTCTGCTTGCAAAACAATTGGAGCTTTCTTTTGCTGGCAACTAGGAAAGCGTCTTCTGAGTGCTCTTTCGGACAGCAGAGGGAGGACTGGGCAAAGTGTTCTGGGGGCATCTCTCCAAGAAGAGGATTCACAAAAAGGCCCAGTCCACAGAGGTGCTAAGGCCCTGTTACTGTTAAAACCAGGAAGCCAGCAACTGATAAGCTAGGGTCAGATGGAAGGGGAGGAGGTCCTCCCCTACCAGTGGACTTGGAAAGGGGCAGGGAGGGTGGGATTGGGAGAGAATGAGGGCGAGGGCTATGGCTGGGATACAAAGTAAATAACCTGTGATTAACATAATAAATAAATAAATAAATAAATAAATAAATAGAAGGAAAAAAATCCATTAAAAAAAAAAAAAAAAGATTCACCTTTAACCTGGGCCACACCTTCTGCAGGAAGCCCGTATAAAGGACAGGGAGAAGGATACTTGCTCTTTCTGGCAAGTCTATTCTTTTACTGGCATTAGAACCTACTTCTTCAGGATTCCAGAGTGTATTGAAGACCAACTGAGAGATCCAGACCAAACAACAACTGAATTCTTGGAGCTTCTTTTGGAAGACAGCCATTGTTGGATTAGTTGGACCATAGCCTGTAAGCCTCTCTAATAAATCTGATATACAAAAATATATACATTTTTTACTCATTCTATCAGTTCAGTTCCTCTAGAGAACCAGGTTATTGTATGGATTAAGGAAGCTAATATATGGAACAGCAAGTAGAATAGATAAAGCCATGACTGTTTTAGCTATTGTTTTTATAATGCGTGAGGCACAAAAACGAATATATCTGGTTGTTCTCTCTCCATAAAGAGCTTGTTTTTCTAGCCAGGAATTTTCAAATGCCCATAACTCCATGTTTTGAGCTCTGTAACATAGTAAATGTGGGAACGTGGGAATGTTTGTCTCATCTTAGAGGGACTGGCAGGGCGAGGATAAGTTTCATGAGATGTAAGGGAGAACAGTAGTTTGAGTCTGATCCTTTAGAGAGAGGGCATGAGGGACATCTGGAACTACAAAACAGTCAGAGATAGCACAGAGAGGATATTACAGCCTCTGGCCACAAAAATAAATATGTATAAGAGCTAGGCGCAACGGTATATACCTGTGATCCCAGCAATCAGGAGGCTGAGGCAGGAGGATCTCAAGTTTGAAGCTAAACTAGGATATATGGTGAGACCTTGTCTCCAAAACTAAACAAATGAAAACTAATGAAAATGGCTAGAAGGGGAAGATGTAAAATGTTATGTATTGCCAGCAGCATCGTTACTTGGGAGCTTGTTAAAACAGGATCTGGCTGTATCCACAAACTACACAGCCAAAAATTTTGCATTCACCAGGACCTTCTTGTGTTCCTGATAAACATGAAAGCTTGAGAACTACTCCTGGCTGAAGTATCTCTAGAGGCAAGCTACCTAAATTTATAACAAATAAAAGTTTCTATAATTTGTGTATACTGGCGGCAGAGGACAATTTTGTGAAGCCAGTTCTCCCGTTTTCACGTGAGTGGGTTCTGAGGATTGAATTCAAGTCACCAGGCTTGCAAAACAAGTATCTTTACTTGTTGAACCTTCTGGCCAGCCCAGGCTACCTCCATTTAAATCCTTGCTTTATTATTTACTTATGTGGGGCCTTAGGGATGTTTAACCCATTATCAGGGACTTATTTTTAACTAGGGATATACCTAATAATTATTACATAAAAGATGAAGGATTAACTCCAACAATTTTTCACTCATATTTGACTTATTATAAAAGTCAGGTTTTTGTTGTTGCCTTCTTTAAAAATTTACCTTCTGTGAATGCGTGTTTTGCCTGCATGTATGTCTGTGTACTATATGCGTGCAGCGCCCAAGGAACTCCTGTAACTGGATTTATATATGGTTATGAGCTACCACGTGGGTGTTGGGAATGGAATCCAACACCTCTGGAACAGAGGCCAATGCTCTTAACCTCTGAGCCATTTTCCCCAGCTCCCTGTTGTTGCTTTTTGTGACAGGGTTCTACTATGTAGCCCTTAGTTCACCAGTTCCTGAGCAAAATGTACCTTTTCATTCATAGAATGGGGACACTTAATTACACCTGTCTCATGGAGCTGCTGCAAAGAATGTCTGTTATGTTTCGAAATCTCCCATTAAGACTTAATTTACCTCCTTATACGGTGTTCTTAAGGAACTGACCTCAAAACAGGGTGTACAGGAGGGCCAGGAGAGAAGTGCAGGAAACGTAAATGGTCCTTTTTATTTCCAATTGGCCTTCAGCTCCATTCAAGAACATAAACAGACTCGCATTTATAAACCAAAACCAAAACCAAAAATCAGTTTTTGGTCACAGGGCCTCTTGCAGGCCAGTCTGACCTGGAAGTCCTTATATTCCTTCTTCCACTTTCCCAGTGCTGGGGTTATAAATGTGATTCATAGCAACCCACTTAGGAAAAGGACTGTCACCCACGTTGTGTATCTTATATTCCCACAGGGTAGTTTTTGTCGTGTGTCCGTCCCGCGCTTCTTCGTGCTAGGAATCAAATTCAGGTCTCCGGGTCTTGAGCATACCCTACAAGCAATCTACCTTTGAGCTAGATGTCCTTCCAGCGGTTATCCTAGTTATCAAGGGAACTTGCTAACCGAAGGATGCATTAAATCCTTTTGATTTGTACACCTTCACAGCATCCGATGCTACCACAGTTCTCCGTTTACAGGGAAGGACATCACAAAATTTGATGGGATTTACAAAACTAGAACTTAACTTTGATTCTCCGGATCGAAGTAACAATATATTGCGACCTTTTCCACCTGAAAAATAGGGGGACAAGACTTCCACAATACTGTGTGGTAAATAACAAAGGCTGAGGTTGAACCTACCATGTCGTAGTGCCTCAAGTAAAGCCCTTCTCCCCTTTGCCAGACATAGCACGACAGATCACTACCTTTCCTACTTCGCACATGGCGTAACCCTAAACCGAGAACGCTCGGATTCCTTTCCTCGACTTGCAACGCTTAACAACGAGGAGGGGGTACGGGCCGCTGTGAAGTCCTCTCTGTTCTTGTAGCGTAGATTGTCGTCTGGGTGGCTGAAGGACGCTGATGATTGCTCCCAAGAGTCTGAGGAACCAGATCTTAATCCTCAACCGCTCATCAGGGACCAAGCTGTTTTCTTTTCTTCCCTAACCTCGCTAGAGTAAAGGTCGAAGCTCAGCTCCAATTACTGACGCCATTTTGACCGCTGCGCGTGACGCCACACGTATAGCTGAGAGAGCAGCTGATTGGCTGGGAAAGACCAAAGGCTAGGCGCGCGAAGCCAGAGACTGAAGCGAAAAGGAACTACACTCCCAGACTTCCTTGCGCATGTGACCGGCAAGTAGCGAGGGAGTTTGAACTAGGACTACAACTCCCACCAGGCCCCGCGACGTCCGCCCTTTCCTTTCAAAACGCAAAGAAAAAGGGACAGGACGAATGGAGGCTTTTGAGTGCTCGTTTCTCAAAAGGCGGGAAAGGCGAACTACACCTCCCGGCGAGCCGCGCGCGCTTGCGCCTGCGCTCTGGTTTCTGTCGCCATCTTGCCCCTTCTGAGGCACCGCAAACAAACCTAATTCCTGGTGTTCCCTAGTCTTGGCGGAGGAGCATTTTAGATGAGCCCCGAAAGACCGGGCAGGTGGGTGTCTCTCAGGCAGGGTCCTGGGAAGAGCTGGCAGGCTATCCAGGGCAGGGGAGCGCTTGGCCAGCCATGGGGAGCCCGGCTTGGGGCGATCAGCCCCATCCTCCGTTGTTTCCTAACGGGATCGCGGGGCTCCCTCAAGTGGACTGAGGGGGACCTCGGCACGCCTGGTGATGGGACACCGGAGGTCGAGGTCTGGGAGCCCCGGGGTGACTCCGGGCCGTCTGGCTGGCTGTCCGCTCCCCTGCCTTTCCTCCGTTGTCCTCCCCGCTGCGGAGAGCGCGCGGCGCGGACGCTGCCCCGGGTTCCCGAGACCGGCTGCCGGCTGCGGGGGCGCGGGCTTGACACTGGGACCGGCTCGGAGCCGCGCGGGCTCGCAGCCCGCGGCTGCTCTTGTTGTGGTGCTCTGAGGGAGTGCGTGTTTGGAGAGGGGGCGGGGCGGGCTGCCTGCTGACACTTGTGCGGGGGACGGAGCCGTGGCGACCCCGGTCCCCGGAGCGCGCTCCGGCTGCCGCCGCCCGGCTTCCCTTTGCTGTGCAGCCCCGCCGTAAGCTTCGCTGGAGGGGATGCTTTGGGATGCCGTGACGTGGTGCCTGATTCGGGGATGGTCGCCGGCCGCCTCTGAGGTCCTCTCGGGAGGCGGGGACTGGCTTGGGGAGCGAGCGGATTCCTCTAGCTCTGCCCCTTCCTCCTCTCCACCCCCTTTCTTTATGTCATCCTGCCAGCTGGGGCGCGCCTTTCAGTTCGGCTTGCTCAGGGTTGGTTCTGAGCTCAGAGGACGATGGGAAGTAGGGGGAAGGGGGCTCCCCTTGAGGCCAAGAGTTGGAGTTAGCAACTAGAGCCTGGAAAGAAATATAAGAGTTCTATCCGTTTAGTGTTTGACGCTTAGGCTGGCTCATTCATTCATTCACTCTACTCTCCTGCTAACCATCCATTAATCAGTTTAACAGATGTTTAAGGAAGATCTACTGTGTGCTCATCCTGTAGTGTGGGAATTAGTAATTCTGTGTCTTTTCGCCCTCTAGACAAGGGAATTCCTAGTGCGAAATTCCAGGCATCTAAACTTTTGGTAATTGCAGGATTTGTGACTATTTTACTGCCAAAAACTTGAGAAAAGAGTTCTTTATTGGGTTCTGTTTACCCAATAATAACATGCTCTACCCTTATTGTTAAGGAAACTGGCAGAGGTCAAGCCACTTGTCCAAGGTTACACAAGTGGCAGAATCTATTTGGCAAGTCATATTCCAGTCACTATGAAAGAACTTGACATGCCCTCTTTTCTAATACTTATAACAACAAACTGGGTGGGAATATTTTTTTTTTCTTTTTATAAATGTATACAAATTGGGTTCAGACAGGCCAATTCACTAGGATGAAACAACTAATTATGTTGAAAAACTGGAACTGGAACCAAGAAGTGTTGGACTCAAAAACCCATGCTCTTTCTCCTGTTAATCCGAGCTGGATCAGTATGCTCTTAAATGGTGGTTTGATTCATTTGTCAGGAGCTGGAAAGCATGGTGGTGAAAATGCTTATGAGGTGTCTTTTCAGCCTTACTTTGTAGACTGTGGATGATCTCCAAGTGAGTGTCCTATTTCGTATAGTTTGGTAATTGAATTTGTTTTTCTTCTGATAGGGGGGACAAGCTCTTTGGGGCTACCAAACAGAAGCAGCAATGCCTGTTGTGTGGCCAACCCTTTTGGATCTCAGCAGGGATGAATGCAAACGGATTCTTCGAAAATTGGGTATGATTTTTCTTGTTTTTGTTCTGAGACAGGGTCTCACTGTGTAGCCCAAGCTGTCTTCAGCATGGTGTCGATTCTACTTCTTTAGCTTCCCAAGTACTGGCACCATAAGTGCATTCTACCATTCCTACCTGTTTTATTTTTGCTGTTTTCTATTTCTCTGTGGTCCTTTATTCTTTCTGTGTGGGTCATGGCTGTTGGGGGTATTGCCCTCATCTTTCTCACTGTTTCCTCAGGGCCTAGACTGATTTGTACATGAGATACAGGAATTATGATACATGGGAAGCCTGGCGGTTTTATGTTCTTAGTCAGCATCTCATGTAATATTCAAGCCCCAAATAGATTTTTTTTGATTGGTTTTGGTTTTGGTCCCCCTTTTTATATAGGAAGTTTAAACCTAAGGTGATACTCACAGTAGGTCATGTGGTCAGTATTTGACTATAGCACAGTGGTTCTCAACCTTCCTAATGCTGCAACCTCATGTTGTGGTGATCCTCAACCATAAAAATTATTTTTGTTGTTACATCATAACTGTAATTTTGCTATTGTTATGAATCTTAATGTAAATATCTGTGTCTTAAGCAACACCTGTGAAAGGGTCGTTCAGTCACCAAAGGGGTTGTGATCACAGGTTGAAAACTGCTGTTCTAGCCAGTATGATTTTTTTTTTTGTCTTATTTTGAGATACTACTAACTTTCATAGGTGTGTGTGTAAATCATATGCTTTTTCTGGAGTCTAAGTTAATGGAAGCTACCTATTTCCCTGATTAAATCTTAATGTAATTGATAAGATACACATTATATTTAAATTTGACTATTTAATACTTCTTTTTTTACCTGTTATAGCAGCCCTTTCAACAAGCATTTAGGGAGAGAAGCCTATCCTAATGCTCAAGCATATGTTTTGTATAAGTAACTAATGTCTTCCCCATACGTGTTGGATGGTGTTAGCCACATGTCATTCTTGGAAATGTTGAGAAAAAGAGTTATTCTAATCATTGGAATCTTTAAAATGAAAATTTGTGAGAATGGTGTTTTAGACTAGAAAGGCCTTGACTTATTTACCACTGTAGCCTGAGGCTAGTGTACTAAATGAAATAAGTGACAGAATAATTTGGAAAGGATCATTAGTGTTTTTGTAGTGAATATTAACTAAATAAGCCTATCATTGTGGCTGACATCTGACAATACAGTGTTTAAAGCAGTTACTTTCAGACATTTGTAGGCCACTAAAGTATTCCTTCAAAGGAAATCTTTGTTGTGAATTTCTATATGTAGATCAGATAAAATTGTAGCTACTGTGGACCTGATAATAATAACTTCTTCCCCTTCTGTCTCTCCCCCACTCTGAGGATTTCAAAGTACTTAGCATTTTTTAGCTGATGGAAGATGGTTCTTTGAGGGACATTTTTTAAGCTAGCATGCAAACTTTCATCATTATTTTGAAGATACTTGGCTGTTCATGTGCACTAAGGTAACTTGCTGTTGGTTATAAAACTGAAGTCCATTTCTCTCAGAGTTTAAAAAAAACACTAGATGAACAGATACAATGACAGTAAATTAGACTTTCTGGGTTTTGGGAACCTTGACTCAAGAGTTTATGTTTAAATATAAAGTTTGTAACCTTTAAGTATAAGTTTATCCCTAGCTTTCCCCGAAAGTGATTTGAGGTGATGTATGATAGTGGCTTGACCATAAAACCCTATATAATCACACAAATCAAGAGGTTAAGGTTTTGGTGTTCAAGAGTGAACACCCATGAAACTGCCCAGGCCATCTGGAAAACTAGCAGGTACTAGAAAGATGCTACTTTATAAAAGCAGTGTGTGCCATTGTGTTACCATGATAGGGATAATGTGTATGCCCTATAGTGGGTCCAGTTGCAAGATCCGTAGTTCATAAAGAGAGTGCTAAGTTTTCTTTTGTTTTCTGCACTGTAGGCATAAGGTTATTTTGTAATTCAAATTTTTATTTCTGTATTCTCCATATCTGGTTGCAGTCCTTGTTTTGAGAATCCCTTGTCTCAGTGTTGTGTAAACACTGCTTCCCAGTTTTCCCCTGGGATGGCAATAAAGCAGTTCACAGCCAATCGCTACAGCTGAGCAGGGGAGAGAATAGGGCTGGACTTCCTGCCAGCCAGGCGAGGGGGAGTTAGAAGAGGAAGTAGGGGATTGAGACACATGCAGAGGTCCAGGTGATATGAGGAGAGGAGCTTCAGCAGAGAAAGCTTCAAACTGCAACTATCTCTGGGATTTACACTGGGAGAGAACCAGATTAGCTTAGAGGGTTAAGAATAACTGTTCAGCTATTGTGTTGTGAAACTTATTATTAAACAAATATGAGTCTCAGTTATTTGTGTGATAGAGTAAGAGAGAAACTGAGAAACACAATGTTATAAAAATAACCTTAACACTGCACATCATTTAAAATGTAGAGAGTAACCCTTTGGACTTAGATGTAGATTCTCAGTTCCTGAGTATATTCAGCTAAACAAATTACCCAAGATGAACCAGTTACAGAATTTAGGGTCTATGTATTCGGGCTCCCTTTGCCACATCAGATTGATCATCACTTAAGGTCATGGGATGTTCTTAAGCTAGAGGAGCAGGTTTGCACAGAAAAAAGAGACATCCCAGAAGAAACTGAAGAAATAAAGACTTAGGGTGCAGGAAAAAAAGTTCAGCACAAAAAAAAAAAAAAAAAACTAGCAATAAAAATGTCGGTGGTTTAAGGCAGACTGTGTGGGAGATGCTGCTGGAGTGCTGTTTCTATATTACAGAAAACAGCCACCACCCATGGCACTGCCATCTCCACTGACACTTAGGAAGCAGATCTGGACAGCAACTTAAAAGACTTCTTCCACTGTCCAGCTGCCATCATGATTGTCAAACACTGGTGCCAAGTCCAAAGTCTAGAGAAGATGCCATCTTTAAGAGCAGTGTTTCTCAACCTTCCTAATGCTGCGACTTGTGATATAGTTCCTTATGTTGTGGTGACCCAAGCACAAAATTACTTTCATTGCTACTTCATAATTGTAATTTTGTTATTGTTATGAAGTATAACGTAAATTTGATATGCAGGATAACTGATATCCTGCCCCAAAGGAGTCTCAGCTTACAGGCTGAGAATCACTGGCTTAAGAGCTCAGCAGTCACATCAGTGGCTCTAAGATCTCAGGCCCGCTTCTGGCCGCTTTGGGCACCTGCACTCACATGGTATTGCTCAAGCTTACTCAACATTCCCCTCCCTTTCTCTCCCTCCCTCTCTCTCCCTCTTTAACACACACACAAATTTTAAAAAAGTGTTGTTAGCTTAAAACTTTGTCTCTTTAGAAACAACTATAAATTGTTTCAATGTGAGATCCCAAACATTTAAATTATCAAGTAATTGGGGGACTGGAGACCAGGCTGGCACCAGCACTGCCCGGCTTCATTATACTTTCTGTCACTGGAATTAACTCTACAATAGAATATCACCAAAAATAGCACCAGAAACTAAAAAATGTTTGAGATATCTCAGGAAACTCATAAACATTTGTCAACAAATATGAAAGATTGGAAGTTAGTAAAGGTTCTAATGGACTTCTTGCAGGAATGCTGGGAATTTTGTAGCCAAGATAATGTTTTCATAGCCACAGTTTTGAGTTAGATGTTGCTACCTCTTAATTTTGTGCATGACTTTTTAGTTCAGCTTCAAATGAAACTTGAAATGTCAGAAATATTTGTTATTTTAAAATTTTTATGCATTTAGCCAGGAGTGGTGGCACCTGCCTTTAATCCTAGCACCCAAGAGGCAGAGGCAGGTAGTTCTCTAAGTTCAAAGCCAGCCTAGTCTACAGAGAATTCCAGGCCAGTCAGCCCTATATGATAAGACTCTGTTTAAAAAGAAAATTACATTTTAAATAACTTTTGTCTTTCATTTTATTCGTGTGTGTGCCTATGAACACACACGATCTTGCACACATGCTATGGGCAAGTGTGGAGGTTAGGCCACCGCTTTCAGGAATCAAGAGTTTTCCTTCCACCCTGTGGGTCCTGGGGATGGAGCTCAGGTCATCAGGGTCAGGCTCAGTAGCAAGTTCCTTTACCTGCTGAGACATCTTGCCAGCTCTGTTTGTCATATTTCTTCAGTTAATTATATTTTCTTTGAAATAGTTTGTTTTTGAGTCAGGCTTGGTTACACATACCTGTAATTCCAGCACTAAGTAGGTAGAGGCAAAAGGATCAATATTTACAGCTAGCCTGAACTACATGCATAAGACTATCTCAAAATACAATAAAACCTGAAATGGAAATAGTGTTTTGTCTCAAGTCACCTTCTCCTTCTGATCTCTTTATTTCTTTTTACGACATTGCTATTGTCGTAAGCATTTTGTAAAACCTAAAATATTACTCATTTTCTTCTGCCAGTTCTACAATCAGTTACTGGGTTCAAGCAAATAAGTCTTTAGGTTCGGATTAAAGAACTCTTAGTTTGACCAGAGATTCCTTCTGTTTCCCTTTTTTTCTGTTCTCTTACATTGTGAAATAAAACATTCATAAGAGTTTATCTGTTTAACACATATCCTTTTGATTTTAAACATTTTGAGAATAGGGGCTTTGTTTTATACCTACAAATGTTTAAACGTTTTCCCTGTTACTCTGTCTTTTTGAGACAGGGTTTCTCTGTGTAGCCTTGGCTGTCCTGGACTCACTTTGTAGACCAGGCTGGCCTCAAACTCATAGATGTCCACCTGCCTCTGCCTCCAGAGTGTGGGGATTACAAGAGTGCAGGTTGGTACCTGGCTGTACTCTATCTTATAATATTCTGTTAGTACTTTGGTTTGACTGTTGGTGACTGTTCAATTACAGATAATTTTATTTCCTTTAATGTAAAATTCTTAAAAGTAGTTACTGTTAGTTAGGCATGATAGCACTAGCCTTTAGTCCCAGCGCTTGGGAGGCAGAGGCAGGTGGATCTCTATGAGCTTGAGGCCAGCCTGATCTACAGAGCAAGCTCCAGGACAGCCAAGGCTACACAGAGAAACATCTTTAAAACAAAACAGAACAAAACAAAACAAAAAAGTAGTTATTGTTATTGGAAGTTCCTGAAGTGACATGACACATTTTCAGTTCTTTTGCTCTCTATTCCCTTTTCAGGAGTTCACCCCCCACACTCCCACAGTATCAATAGGGACAGTTATTTTCCTGATTAAAGCTTGTGTTTTCAAACCAGATAATGTGTTTTTTCTGTGCCTCTACCACTATGTGCAAACTGTCATAATTTCCTCATGACTTGTTACTGGTATTTTGCAGTTAAATACTCGAGATCAGGACCTAACACTCTTTAGTGTATGTGTATTAGGACTCAAAATTGATTTGTTGAATAGAATATTTCATAAATATTTTAATGGTACATAAACATTTAATACAGTAATTTCTCACTGCTTATTCCTAGTACCATTTTTGTATTCTCTTCTGTCTCTGATCATAGCTGAAATGTATTTCTTGGAACTGAATATTTCGTTTTTGCCTTTGGAGAAACAGGGCTTTGTCTTTTGAAAGCTTCTTTCTCCCTCCAGTGTCTGCGTAGTATCCAGTATACACTCTATATGCAGGGTGTTCACAGGCGATTTCAGTGGAACTAGACATTTCTGCTTCATTTACTCAGCCCATTCCTCTATAGAAAGGCTTCCTCAAAAAAAGACGTTTCTATTTTTATAGTATATGTGTGGATGTTTTGCCTGCATGTGTGTTTGTGTACCATGTGTGTGCATGGGGACCATGGAAGCCAGAAAAGGTTGTTGGTTTCCAGGGAGCTGGAGGTACGGATGCTTTTGGGGGTTGGTATTTGAATCCAGATCCTCAGGAAGAGCAGCAAGTGCTCTGAGCTGTGGTAGCCGCTAAAGACTTCCTTTGAAAGAATTGTGAGTACCATGAACAGAGTGAGGCTACTGTTTATTTATTGGTTAGTTTCAAGTCTGCAGCTTTACAACTATCATTCGCCCACATTCACTAAGTTTCTGTTGGGCAGATAGCGAATATTTGTAACAACATGAGCATAAAGATACCTTTAATTTGGACATTTATTTCCACCTTTCTGTTTTGCTCCTTTGTATCTGTTTCATAGAGTTAATGGCTAAAAATATCCCAACATTTTATTACTTTGTTTCATTTTCTTTGTTGGTGTTGGCTGACCTCTCTTATGGCTCCAGTCACAGCTGAGGGACCTGTCTTTGTGACCTTTCTTTCTGGGATTCTTCACAGCTTGTTAGTGCTATGACTTCTACAGAGCAAGGTCACCAGTACAAGTACTTAGCAAGTATCTGCATCTCCTTTGCTGATGCACCATTGGCCAAAAGTAGGATAGAACTTAGAATTGGTGTGGGAAGAGAGCTTAATTCGTTGGGAGTGCTCTCAGACTTTTGTTTTTGTATTTATGTTTTGGCTTGTGTGAGTATGTGTTTAACTTTAGCCTAAGTTAGCCTCAAACTTCTGACCTTCCTGCCACCACCTTCCGAGTACTGGGATTACAGGCTTGTGTTTTCATATCTGGCTTGTATGTTTTTATACTTTTGTACATATGCATGAATGTGTGTTTGTATATCTTTTACATCCATGTGTAAAACAGAACAACCTCAAATGTTGATTCTCAGCCATCCATTTTTTTAATTTTTAAATTGAAAATTTTTTTCAAGATAAGTTTTTAAGTAGGGTCTGTCACGTAGAAGAACTTCTTCAGTGCAGTAGGCTATGCTGGCTTAATAGCTGGCAAGCCTAGGGAAACCTCCTGTCTCTCTCTGCCTCCTTCAACACTGGGATGACATGATGACTACCATATATTCCTCCCTCCGTGCCCCCCCCCCCCGGTTTTTTCAAAACAAGGTTTCTCTGTGTAGCCCTGGCTATCCTGGAACTCAATCTGTAGACCAGGCTGGTCTCGAACTTAGAGATCCACCTGCCTCTGCCACCAGAGTGCTGAGATGAAGGTGTGTGCCACCACCATCCAGCCTTCTTTTTTCTTTTTTAAAGTGGATTTTGGGGATGGAACTCAGGTGCTGATGGATCTATATCGCAAGCACTTTACCAACCAAGTCACCTTTCCTGCCTGTATTCCTTTGAATCAGTTTCTTGCTCCATATCCCTCGCTGTCCTCCAACTCTCCATTTTTCTTCCTCAGCCCACTGAGTGCTGGAATTATAGGCATGTGACATTGTACCCAGACTAATTAGTCATGTTGAATGTAGTTTTTTGTGTTTTATTGTCTTGGGTGCTAATTTTTGTAGATGTAAAGATCTTAAAGGTGTGTAAAGATGTGTGTAAAGATTAAAGGTGTGGCCACCATGTCTGGCTAGGTCAAATGTTCTTTAGTAACATGCTGTTAGAGGTTTTCTTTCCTAAGTATTTTATACCTATGACTTCTTTGAGACATGTGTAACAAAACAGTGTAAGTGATGAAAGTGACACTTCAGTCTTTGTTTTCAGTAATATTTTTGAAAGAATTTTAAATTTTGCATTTGGTTGATTTTAGATTTCTTGCCCTGAAGTTTAATATTGCATATCCACATTATTCAAAATTAAAGACTTATCTTGATAAAATAATTTTCTTCTTCTAGAATTGGAGGCATATGCTGGAGTTATCAGTGCACTTCGGGCACAGGGGGATCTCACCAAGGAAAAGAAAGATCTTCTTGGAGAACTCTCAAAAGTCCTTAGGTAATTTGTCATGAAAGTTTTGGTGATATGACTAGAAATCTCGTTTTATGAGAGTTTGTTTTTTTTCACTCTCAAGTTAAAGAACAGAGGTTTCAGTTTGTTGGGTCCTTTTTGGGCACTTAGAGGCCCTATTCCAGTGTGTGACTGCTGCCATAGAAAATGAGGACACTTAGTCTCTGTTGTGTCAGCCAATGAAAGGGTTTAAGGCAGATATTTTTGGTTATGTGGAATGGGAGGTCCTTTGACATAGGTGAAAGAAAGAGTTGGTGCAACTGAACTTCAAGATGTAGAGTGGCATTTACTGGAGGGGAAAAAGGGGTGTAAGCAAGATGCCTCAACATGTAAGTGGGTGCTAGTCATATGGTCACTGCCTTAACTCTATTGACTCCTTTACCTGAGGTAGAGTGGCGCTTGAATTCATCAGACAACTCTAGTGAAAGGTATTCCTTGGTGCTTTGTCTTGATCCATTTTTATATCTTGCGTTTTCTCAGAAAATGTTCTGCTTTAACTCAAGTTTGCTCTCTACATTTAAAGTCATTTTGTTCCATTTTTAGAAGTTAAAATATGGAAGAGGCTCTTATTTAACATTAATAAAGGAATGTAATTAAGTAGATTCTTAGTCTTATTTTTTTGTTGTTTATATTTCCTCATAAATTTTGCTTTTAGTTCTTAAGTGTTGTGATGCATGCTGTAAATTTAGTGTTAAGTGCTAAAGAATACAAGAAGAGTGGTGTTTACCGTATTGGGTATTTATGAATATAATGGATGTAGTCTTTAAAAAAATGTTTCACTTATTGGTGTGTAATATATACACATTTTTACCATTGGTAACATAATATAGAAAGCACCTAGTTGGAGTTGATTCACATTTCATTGCATGTACTCACAAGAAACACACTATCTGGCCACTCTTACTGCTTTTATTATATTCATTGAATGTAAAATTATTAGACTCTTCAGCCTAAGAAAAGACCTTAGAAGATTTTCTTCTAAGTGCCCGGTCCTCCTGCCAGCAGTCATGAGATGAGGAGGCCTTTGAGCACCTGTTTCCATGTCTAGTTAACAGGAAGCACTGCTAGTCTTAACATGGCCTGTTCCACAGATGGGAAAATGTACTTATCAGGCTGAGTTTGTCTTCCTGCAATTTGCAGAGAAATAATCCTCAGTTAAACAGAATCAGTATGAAACCTTTCCTATGACTTTGAAATATTTAAGATACACATTAGGCAAAGTAATCCTGAGTCCCTCAAAGATGTTGACTTAAACATTAATAAAAGTGTAGAGAAGAGCTGCCTGCTTGGCAGAGTTCTATAATGGCTATTTTTTTTCATAGCATCTCAACAGAACGCCACCGTGCTGAAGTTCGGAGAGCAGTAAACGATGAACGGTTAACAACAATTGCACATAAGTAAGCCATTAGTCTACCACCCCTGATTTTTAAATGATGTAGTGTAAAGTAGTTTTGAGACAGTCTTCCTTTTGTGTGGCAGGTCCCTGAGTCTTTTATCTAATAATATCTCTGTTCTCAGAGATCCTGCCCATAGTGATTACTGTTTATTTTATTGATTACTTTTCGGTTTTTGTTTTGCATTTTGTTAGGGAAGCTTAAAGTATGTAGGTCAAATCCTATTAGAAGGTAATCTCTGTATAATCAAAGACCACTGGAAGCATAGCTCAGTAATGAAGCATGCCTCCCAAAACTGAAAGGTGCTTAGATACTTCTTGTAATGGTATTTGATATGTATATTGCTTTATAAATAGGCATTCCAATATTTATATGGCTCTAATTATTACAGATATTTTGAAAAAATATTCAGAAAAAAATAAACCATGTTATTTTGAGGAATATAAATATAACTTAATGTACTTTAAAAAGCAAACACATTAAAGTGATAAAGGCTTCTTAACTGACTGACTGGGGAGAGGGTAGTAGAGGACTGAGTAGAATCAACCGTTAGTTATAGAGAGAGAGTGCCTCCTGAAGAACAGAAAGGACCAGAAAGCAGTCCTTTCACTGATGATGAAATAGTCCATAAAATGCTCACGTATAATCCATATGTTTTAATTTTTATGTTTTAAAATGACTAAAGGAAAGACAACTCAGTGCATTACCCTAATGTGATGACATAAGGCATTTGGCAGAATTTGAATTGATTACACAGCTCTGTTGGCTTCTTATACTTCCCTATCCCTCATTTTACTTAACACATAGAATGGGGTACTCACCTCTTTAACAGTATAGTTTAAATGTTTTGCTGTTCGTTCTGTAAGTCTCAGATTCTTCAGTGGTAGGTATGCATTGTAGAAATTTAGAAGTTCTCCGTGGAGACTAAAATAGTTGAAACATTGAAATTTAATGTGTCCCGTTTTTAATTTGTTTCAGACTTTAAACTGAGTCTGGATTCTGATTTGGGAACTGGTAATAGGAAACTGTGTGCTAGATAATAAAGTAGAAAATGAATACCTTAGAAGCATTCAAAGGGTATTGTGGGGCAATGAGCTGTAAGTTGATGCATCGGTGTCATTCTTAAAGGATAACGTTTATTTAGTCTCCTTTTCCTTTTTTCCCCTTTTAAGAATGAATTTATCCTTATATTTGGGTGAAAGACCAAGTTACAGGTATGCAAATAGGTTATTATTATTTCAGGCTTTTTCTTGTATTTATTTCCAAATTGACGCTCTCAATTATTCAGGGGCACATACTTTATTTATGAATTAACCATGCCCCTTGCTTCTTCTCTTCCCTCCTCACCTTCCTAATACTGCCCGACCTTTAGCCATTTTTGCTGCTTGGGAATATCTCTAGTCAGAGGGTGGGAAGGGAGAGGAGGTGAAAATTTGTAATAACTCATTTCACTATTTGTTAGTTGGCCTGAAAAATTTGTGCAAGAATTTACTAGTATTTGCTAAAATAATTTTTGGATAATGTGTGGATTTCTTTAATCTATTTGACCTCTCCCTTTCCTTCCTCTCTCCATTAGCATGGATAATTGAGAGTTGGCTTCTATTTCACCTGTTTCTCTGCCCTCCCCTTCCTTTCTGACTTTTTTTTTTTTTTTAATGTATAAACTTTCTTTTTGAAAAGAATTTACTTCAGTATAACTAAAAAAAGCTTCTTAGGTCTTTCTATACTCTGATTTTAATATTTTATATTGTGGTTTTAGTTTGACTAGATACTGTATTTGTTGAGCCCAAGAGTCAGAGAATGAGGATTAGTGATACTTTCTTGCCCTCGGATATAGCAGTGGAGCCTAGGCTCAAAGATGACCCATGAGGGTTTTAGTCTGTAAAAACAACTAAAGGAATGCATCGGAGCTGATTGCATTCCTTTTTCTTCTTCCCCTTCCCCCACTTGAAATTGCTGTGTAGCCCAGAAGGAATGTACTTGAAAGGTGATGGGAAAGCTGAGAAGATTGATCAGGAAAGAAGGGGAACAAAAGGAGTAAGGGCCCTGGACCTAAGAGAAACTGTATGAAAGGTCTTGTGCTACAAGGCTTGACTGGGAGGGTCTTTGTCCTTTGATACTATAACTGAGTTCTTAGTTACAACAATATTAATGCTTCCATGTTTTGCTTAGGCCACTCTTTGTCCTCAATTAGACTAAAATGATAGTCTGGAATATCAGATCTCTGCATATCTGCCAACTGTCAGACATTCCCAGGATGCTGTGTTGCTGTGTGAGGGTGCAGCTTTTCTTAACTGCAGCCCACTGTAGCTCATTAGTATTTGGCTTTCTCAGAGCAGGGATCAGTTTAGGGTCCACACCTTCCTTGTGGTCCTTAGATGACTAGAGAGACAGGTGAATGTGCAAACTGAGGGGGCCTGTGAACCCTCAGGTACAGTACGTAATTTCTAAATTCATTTAGATGACTTGATCAGCTTTACAACCTATCTATCACTTAGCAAATAGGAACTTTTTATCTAATTCTAACATGGTATTTCATTTCTCATTCACTTAATATTTGAGCATGCTTGCATGAGTGGACATTTGGAAGACCTAATTCTTCCTGAAAGTTGCAGTTGTGTTTTTTTGCACTGCAAGCTTCATCTTTTCAATAGCACATGTCCATGTGCTTCATGTTATTAATCTTCTATAATACCTGCCACCATTTAAACAATACACCAGGTAAGTGTAGAAGTCACTTTGTGTGGTAAACTCATACCAGACAAATTTATCAGTGATGCTAATACAATGGTTATCAGAGTAGGACTGTACTAAGGAGATGGTAGCTTTTGGAAAGTTTTTATTTAATAATTAGTAATAATGCTTTTCTGTCTTTTTCTTGTTTGTTCTATTCTTTATTTCTGAACTAGTGTTAACATGAAGCTTTATGTCACATATTTGTGAGGTTACTAAAGCCTCAGAAAGTCCACCTTTTCTTCTCTTATGTAGTGCTTTAAATTACAAAATAATTTATATTCTTTTATAATAACCCAACTGGATTCTTCAGCTTGAATCTCTTTTTCTTCTTCCTTCGTTCTTTTTCCTTTTTTGAGACAATGTTTTATTTTGGTGTTTTGAGACAGGGTCTCATTATATAGCCTTGGCTGGCCTGGAGTTACCTAAGTAAACCAGGCTGAACTTGAACTTACTGAGAGATTTACTTTTGCTTAGAGGCTGCTGGGATTAAAGGCTAAGGGCCTGTGTCATCACGCCTGTTTAAATCCTTTTTAAATTGTAATTTATTCCCTTCAGCAATAGTTGGCAGTAAGTAGACAATAATCTCAATTGGTATAAAACAAACCTGCCCATAAAAACCACTAGGAAACTTTTATTCTTTATGTTTATGATACAACAAATAATTACAGAAGCATGGTGCATACTTGTTGAAGGAGCCATTTATTGTGTGGCCGTAGGCAGGTTATTTAATGTCTGGATTCAGTTTTTCCTTCTAGAAATGAAGATGCTAATACTATCGCTTTGTAGGATTATTGAGAGAACTGAGTTAACACAAGGGAGATATGTGGAGCAGTACCTGACATGTAACATGCCCTTAGTTGGTTTTAATGATACCATCACTGTCAACATCACCCTCATTGTCATCATGGAATTATTCCACTGCCCACTGGCAAAGGATTTGGGGTACTCTGCCTGAATCTGAAGGATTACTGGATATAGAGTCTTAAGCTCTAGGATGGGGTGTAGAGTCTGTGGTTTCACAAAAGTTGAAGATGTACTTCTGGTTCAGTGAAGAAAACCAGTTGTTTCTAGATTAATTTTAGACCTTGATGCTAAACATTAGAGTATTTCGTGAAGCCAAGTAAGAGATGTTGCAGCTGTCTTCTGGTATTTTAACATCTAGTATGATTTCTGGAACAAAACTTACTAAGAAGTTTAAGGCAAAGAGACTATTTAATGATTTCTTAAAGAGTGAGGGTCTAGTTGCCACAAGTGCCTTTTGGAGTGTAGGCTACACCATACAAATAAAGTGAAATAGTGGCAGATTTCTTTTAGTATCCGCAGACTTTTTTTTTTTTTTTTTTTTTTTTTTTTTAACGGGAAGGGTAATAATATAAAAACACAGTGAATACTATCAGTGACATTTGCTGTTGTATGCAGATGTTTTCCATCTTACTAACTTCTCTCGTTTACTGCCTCAGTTTTCTGTGTTTGAAAGCCTTTAGAATCTCTGGCCATGCGGGCAATTAGGGAATTTTGCAAAAATTCATTGAACTCGTCTTTAACTGTAAAGGAAAGTCTGATTCTTAACACTCTCAGTGCTTTTATTTTCTTGGCATAATTACAAAATAAAGTTTTAAAAGTTAGCAGAAATATTTGTTTCATGAAACCCAATTTTATAAAATCAATACCAATTTTTATTTTCAAAGCATAGAAAAAAAATTTGTAGTTGCAGTTACATTCATTATAGGATTCAGATTATAGAATAAAGTGTGTAAGAACCTCAGTGTGTGGCATTCCTTGAATTTAATTGTTCCTATGTTTGATCTTGCTTGCTTAAAATGAAGCCTCTCCAGAATTCAGGGTACTTTTTATCATTAAAAAAGTTATGTTTAATTGACTCATTTTTCAGTAAGTGCGAACCCTTGTAGCAGTGTTTTTTCTTTTGTTCAGTATGTCTGGACCTAATAGTTCTTCAGAATGGTCCATCGAAGGTCGTAGATTGGTGCCACTGATGCCCCGGCTGGTTCCCCAGACTGCCTTCACTGTAACAGCGAATGCTGTGGCCAATGCAGCTGTCCAGCACAATGCGTCCCTTCCCGTTCCTGCAGAGACAGCAACCAAAGAAGGTGAGTAGGAGCACTGCTGTTAGAGAGGATTCCTCTGAGGACTTTTCATCTATTTTTAGTAAATGCCTAAAAATTATGGGATTGGTATGTCTTTGATTTTCAAACTAGAAACTGCTAGGCTTTCAGTCTCCACCAAATCAAGTTTCTTTATACTCCAGAGGAAAAACTATGTTAATCACCGAATTGCAAAAAGCTCCCTCACATTGACTTTCTGACATCAGTATATCTTTTGTCTTGCTTTGGTTTGGCTTTGAGACCAAAGCAAACACTGTAGTCAAGGCTGAACTCAAAGTTGAGGCAGTCCTTTTATCGTAGCCTCCAAACTGCTGAGAGTATCGACAAGAGCTACCATTCCTGTGGGTGTTTCTCATTAGAGGTGAATGGAAGGGTTTAGAGAATAGACAAGAGGACAGAAGTATTTGTTGAATAAAAGCTGTTGAACTGCTCCAGAAAATTAAACTTTTTATTTTTTTGAATCAATGCTATACATGGCCTCTGTGTTCTGGTCAGTGAGCACTTTCTTACTGTTGATTGATCTAGTAACTGACATGTTTTAAAAAAATCTTTGATTTAACAAGGTTGATACTAAATTTGAGAGTATGCTTGGATCAAAAACAGCTCTAAAAACAATGCATTGCCAGATTATTTTGAGAAGTTGCTTTGTCTTGTCTAGTAGTGGGCTTTGAATAGAGTGAGGCACTTTTCACTCCTGTCCAGGCTCGGCTTTACACCAAACAAAGCTGTATGTTTTAGGGAGTCAGTTATCTGTGTGAACTTAGCCTCTACTGGATTCCTGTTTTTTTCATTGTTGGCAGTTATATTTCTTCTCTTTCCACTTTTTCTTTTTCTTCTTGCTAGCTGGTAGAATGGGAAGAAAGTTGGGTTTCTGATAGTCAAGTCAGTTTTTGGATTTAAGTTTGTCATTTCCTAGCTCTGTGACCTTTGGCAATTCTTAGCATCTGTAAACTGGGTTCTTTATCTTAAAAGGGGGAATTAGTGATGATGGAAAAGATTTAGCATAGTACCTGGCAGTCAGTACATGGTAACGCCAGGCTGTTCTTGGTGTTGCTAAGTTGTGTCCTTTCACTGAGTGATAACTAGGTTGAGATTTGATGTTATTTTAGTTATTATACCCCTTGGCTGGCAAATGGCAGTTTAATTAGTTTATTTAAACAGCTTGGTTTAAATAGCTTGGTTTTTGTAGCTTGTAGCTTGGTTTTTCTCCTATAAGCACTTTGAAAATTGCTGTGATTAGGGAGAAGTTATAGTTACCCATTGTTGCTCTGCTAATGGTTTTAAGAAGTATTTCAAGTTTGTGACTGTTGTCCAGTTCTTGCCATGGTGAGAAATGAATTCCCTTTTTCCTCAGTAAAGTTTGCTTTGTACCTCCATTCACCATTACCTGTTGATAAGCTGGCAAATACGTGGGAAAGACCCAGTAAGTGATGATTTTCAAAATAGCCCTTAAACCTTGAATCTGGTACCTTATACTTACTAGCATCTAGCTTCTGATTTCCTGGAAATGATACAAAAGTAATTTCTCTGTATATCTGGACAGTTGTGGTGAAAGTTAACAGCAAATTTTTTTTTTTTTTATGATTCCTTCAGTAGTGGTTTGCTATTCCTACACAAGTACCACGTCAACCCCAACCTCTACCCCTGTTCCAAGTGGCAGCCTAGCGACGGTTAAGTCTCCACGACCTGCCAGTCCTGCCTCCAGTGTAGTTGTCTTGCCAAGTGGAAGTACTGTGTATGTCAAAAGTAAGTGATGTCTCAAGGCCCTCTTGGCTAAATGCTACAGTCCAAGCTCTGATTAGATCTGCTTTTCTGGAATAAGTCATCAGGCCACAAACTGTTTCTGTGGTTAGTTTTAGAAGGTTCTAAAGACTTGTTATCTACGTATATGACTAGGTATTTGCTTTTTCATCGGCTTTGAGATTTGAGAAATGCCAGCATTTTTTTCTCTGTGTGGGAAGTCTGCTTTTGAACAGTGCTGTCCTTTAGGCATTCACATCTTTTGATGCCTGAGGAACATTGATGAAAAGGAACTGAAGGCATGTGCTTAGGTGACTATTTGATGAAAGTTTTCCCAGAATTCCAATCTTTGCAGTATTTTTATTTTTTATTTTTATTGCATTACTGTATATATCATCCAGCTTTGACATTCAGTGACTAATTGTAGAGGCTACCTTAAAGAGATATTTCTACTTGACATAATTAAAAAAATATTTGCAGTTTTAAACTCTTGATTCTTCTCTGTTCTATATAACAGTCTTCTCTCTCTTTCTCTCATATATATTTTTTTAGTTGGAATCTCACTGTAGTTCAGGATGGCCTCAGACTTGTGATCTTACTGCTTTGTCCTCCCAAGTGCTGGGGTTACTGGTGTTACTCCCATACTTAATTCTGTGAAACATTTGGTGTCTGTTTTTCTTAGATTAATGTTTCTTAACTTTATTTTAAAAATTGTTTTATATTTTGTTTTTGTTTGATTTTAATTTGTCTCAATATAGTAATAAATGATTTTCTTATAGATTTTAGAGGTGGCATTTGCCTCTTTTAGACAAGTTTCTAGGTCATTGCCAGTCCTGTATAGAGTCTAAAAACTGAAGCTGTAAAAACTTATTTTCAATTCTATGAGTCATACTATGTAATTTTTTAATATGTGCTCTGTAAATATTCCCATATATATTGCTGTGTATATTTCTCATATGAATTTTGTGAAATCTACAAAAGAATTGAAGTTTTAGATTACAAAAATGCTAAGCGTCCTGGACTGTTAAGTTTATTTCAGGTCTCTGTAGATATAACCAAGGTTGTCTTTAGAAATGACTCTCAGGACCTATTTTTAAAAATCAATTTTAAAACTACTTTTAGTGAATCTCAAACATGTAACAAACTAATTTCACAAACTAATATACTTTCAAATAACAAGAACTGTATCGCTTTATACTCAAAGACAATGTTAGTTTTATTATTCATTCACCAGCTTTGTGGAAGTCACCTTATCAGGGAGGCCAAACAGACTTAGTCATTCTTGTCTAAACGCTTATTGATATGGAAGATGTGCAGACAGTTATATTGTTGCATGGTGAACGGTGCTGAAGAGGATGTACAAAAGTGCTTTATGTGCTCTGCTCAAAGGAGAGGTGGGTTAGCTTTTACCAAGGAAGGGAGGGCTTCAGTGAGAAGGTGCTTGCAGGGTGATGACAGCAGGGTGAGGGAGAGGGCTTCAAGGATGGTGGTGGTCTTCAAAGAAAAACTCATAAACAGACTCAGATAAGAGGGTGCTGAAGTGTCTTTGGACAGTGGTGAGAAATTTAGTTGGTCAAGATGTTAGAGGGGCACAGGGCAATGGTAATGGTATTATGTGCCTGGAACGATGGTATTATGTGACTGGTCCTTGAGTTTCGGTCTCGGGAGGATTTGGGGAAGAAAGGAAAATACAGAGTTAGGGAATTTCAGGCTGAGCACTCAGTTATGCAGTTTCCTAGTTTGCTATAGCATGGAGGAGTATAGAATAGAAGTAGGAGGATGAAGAGGTTAGTGATAAAATACAGGCAAGAGACAGGGAGCCCCAAATGTGGTAGTAGTTTAAGGAAAAGAGGATGAATATTCAGAGAGACAACTTTTCTAAGAGAAAATTTTTGGGACTTAGTGACAGATTGGGCATAAAAGAAAGGGAGAGGCCAAGAATGACATGAACATTTAAAAAAATAAAATGTAAGAGGCAATGTTAGTTTCGTATAAGTAAGAAGACTGTTGTTGTCTTTCAGGTGTTAATTGTTCCGATGAAGATGAAAAACCCAGAAAACGCAGGCGAACAAACTCTTCTAGCTCCTCTCCTGTTGTCCTGAAGGAAGTTCCAAAGGCCATCGTTCCAGTCTCTAAGACGATCACTGTGCCTGTGAGTGGCAGTCCCAAGATGAGCAACATCATGCAGAGCATCGCCAACTCCTTACCGCCCCACATGTCACCTGTGAAAATAACTTTTACCAAACCATCAACACAGACGACCAACACAACAACACAGAAGGTAAGCGGTAGAGGGAGTTCTGTTTCTTTCACATGGTGGGATTTAGTGTTGACAGTCATATACTGTGTGCTTACTGTGTACTTGGCATTATCCTGGGAGCGCACACATCTCTTGTTTAATTCTGCACATAAAATATTGAGATGACGCCGGGTGCGGTGGCACCTGCTTTTAATCCCAGCACTTGGGAGACAGAGGCAGGCGATCTCAATGAGTTTGAGGCCAGCCTGATCTACAAAGCGAGTCCAGTATAGCCAGGGCTACACAGAGAAATCCTCTGTCAGAAAACCAAACCAAACAGGCAAACAGAAAAACCAAAACCCAAAAAACATTGAGATATTCACTTTTTCAAGATGAGGTTTAGGTGCCAGGTGATGTGCCCAAGATGGCAGCTAGCTGATCTGGTTCTGGACTTACATTGTATTGATAATTGTAATGCCATTTTGAAACAAACTAGAAAAATTTTAAAGTCTTTGTTTATGGGGCTTGCCTTATGTTTAGGAAGTCAGTTATTATTGCTCTGCCAGTAAGTAGAGGTAAGTGTTTCTTAGAAAGAAGGGGTATGAGTAAATGAATAGTTGTTATCTTCCTTATTCTTTTAATTTCATGTTCTTGCAGTCTTCACACTAGTCTAGATTCTGATTACCTGAGACTTATTTTACACCTGTGTTTCTGAGATTCCCTTTTTATTAGTTTGTTTTACTAGATAGGGCATGTTCTTTAGTAGCTTCCCTGTGTGTGGGTGGCTGAGACGTTTTTTGAGACCCACTGTGGACAAAGAACTTTTTTCCTGTGAGTTTTGAAGACATTCTACACTTGACTTCCAGCTTCTAGTATTATTTTTGAGACACCCAGTGCCGTCCTGGTTTTAGCTTCTGGTTTTGTCTTTGGAAACTTTTTAGAGGAAACAGCAAAGGCTTCATGACCCTTATGTTCTGTCTTTAGAGATTTTTATCCTGTACACTCATGCCTTCAGTTCTCAGAAGTTCTTGGGTTACCTCTTTGATGGTCTGCATTTCCTTTGTGGATCACTTACTGAAAACTTGGAACATTCTAAATTGATCCTTTAAACTCTTCTACTTTTTTCAATTCTATTTTCCATGTGTTTTCTTATTCTTATCCCCACCCCAGTGTAGCATAGTGGCTTGGGGTATGGATTTTGGAACTAGACGTTTTTGATTTTAAATCCAGCTTGACAACAGGTTTTTTTTTTTTTTTTTTTACTGTGAGCAAACTAAAATCTACGCTCAGTTTTCTTCTTTGAAATAGAGAGAAAACCCCCCCAGAGTTTCTATAATATCTTTGGGTATAATAAATAATATATGTAAAGCTGTTAGAAGAAAACCTGACATGGGTAAATGTGTATTATCACTTTCTGTACCTTTGATCAGTATCCTATGTTGCTTGCACAAAATTGTTCAATTTTGCTTTATTACTTTATTTTTCTTGGAGAAAGAATCTCAGTGTTTAGTTCTGTCTGGCGTGGGACTGACTTTGTAGCCTCAGCTGACCTTGAAGCTTGAGTACTGAGGATCGCAGGCATGCAATAGCATACTTGGCAACCATCATATTTTAAACTTCTAGTAATTCTTCCTTCCTTTCTAGATGTTCCTTATTTTTCTTTTTAAAAATAACATCCTGCATTTTGATAGGATGACTGTATTTTTTTTATTTGATTATAGTTATAAGCCTTTTGGTTTGGTTTTCTTTTTCGTTTTCTTTGTCTTACCTATTAGTTGTTCTTCTCAGAAGTTCCTCGAGAGTCCGGCGCTCGGCTCACTTGTGAAGCCGGCACACTTACTGCTTTGCTCCTCTGGCACTTGTCTTTAGGGTGTTCCTGAACCAGGCAGATTCATCAGGCAAGAATCTTCCAGCTTCCTACTTGGAGTATTATACGCCTGGCTGCCAGTATTTTAGAATCAATCTTGGAAGGTGCTGTGGTACCTGGGCTAATAGGTGTTTCTAAGTCTTATCTCAGGGACGTGAGTAACACCTGCATCAGCACAAAGGCTAGTGGCCTGAGTGTTTAAGACGTTGCGCAGAGCGTGCACCTAGGAAGTGCCAGCCCCTTTGCTTTGCAGTGTTCCTGGAAGTCAGCATTTTCCAATATGCTGATAACAGTTAACTGTCTCAAGTAAATGAATCTACTGGTTTACTGAAGCATCCCAATTTCCCAATGAAGTTAATTGTTGTAGATGATTTCAGGGTTTATTGAACATAGTTTTACATTTTTACTTGATTTCAGTAAGCATTTTTGAATGTCACTATTTACATGGTGTTGCAGTTACTCCTTTTTTTTTTTTTTTTGTATGTGTAAGAAGATTTTTTTGCTTTTGTTTTGTTTTTGCTTTTGGTGTGTGAGTGATGCTGGGGAATGAACCCAGGGCCTTGAATATTCTGGTAAAGTGCTTTGCCACTGAGCTGTATCATCCTTAGCTCTTAGTTATGCTTTCTGAGCTGGCCTTAACACCAACTGACTGTTATATAACTATGCTTCAGGTTGATACAGTAATGCTTTTAACTGCCTTCACTGATAGATCTTATGGCTATTTTTTTTCCTCTTCCTCCTTCATCTACTTAGAAATGTTTTGGTATTCAAGAAATAGTGTAGAAAAGCTGTAACCAAAAGACTACCTATATCTCATTTGTATTTTGTTTCTATTGTGTGTTTCATTTTTATTCATTATTTTTATAAGTAGTTGATGTTATAAATTTCAAGTTTATTTTCTATTTCTCTCATAGACTGCTGAGAGTAGCTTTGACCTGTGTTTTATTCATCATTGTGTTCCCTAGAACTTAGAACAATGCCTTGGCATGTACTAGATGCTAATTAATATTTGTTGAATGAATGAATTAATAAATGAACAAATCAATACACACATAAGTAGCTCTAGCTCCAGTATGATCTGGTTATGTTAAGTAATCACTTTTCCACAGAGCTGTGTCACTGGACTTCTGCTAATTGTCTGCTAATCTACTTGTTTTCTTTTAAGACAAAAGTAATAATAGTATTTCTTAAGAGTTGCTAAGAGAAAGAGATAAGATTATTCATTGAAAATAATTATAGTCCATACAATGAGTGTTTAACAAGAGTCACCTAACATCATTAACTTTCTGATTTGTTTTTAGTAGACTTACATAAAAAAATGTTTGTAACAGATGGGGTTCCCTGTAAGTGAAGTATGAATGCTTTGGTTTCTTTTTTCTTTTTCTTACTCCTGTTTTTATGTTGAGGATTTTGAGATGAAAATGAATATTTAAGTTTGTCAGACTCATGCTTTTAAGAAAGCACATTTATTTCCAAAGTCATATATAGGCCATACCATAAATTTTCAGATTCAGAAAGTTAGGCTTATTTGTGTTTAAGAAAAATAAACATTTGAGGAAAAAAAAAGGCTCATTTATTTCACAAATAATTACTGAGTATCTACTGTGTCTCAGTTGTAAAACTGTGTTCTCTTCATTTCAACTCTTCCATCTGTTTTTTTTTTGTTTTTGTTTTTGTTTTTGTTTTCAAGGATTTTGGACAACTAGATTATGGTTAGGACTACCAAATATACTTTCTGTGTTTTGTTTTGTTTTCTGTTTGCTGGATAAGTAGATTTAAAAAATATTTTTGTCCAAGGCTGTTGTCATAATTGTATTTACCTTGGATTTCTCACAATTTGTATTTAAGTCAACTTAGCAATTAGTAATTGTAGGTAAAGTGACTTTACATTAAGTATAATTGTTTCTGACTTTGTAAATGGTGTTTACATTTAAATAGGTTGTGCATTTTTAGTGTAGATACATTTCCACGTATGTTAATATGCCTTATGTAAAACAACCTTGGTACAGCACTGATATAAACAGAGCAACAGAATATAGCTTTATGCTTTCATGTGCTTGATTGATATTTTTCATTTTGTCCTTAGGGTGCAAGTCCCAGCACTCTTAAGGAGTTTTTGTGAATGCTAGAAGGTCAGTAATTTGAATTATGGCCTGAATAAACACTGTGTGGTTCACTTGGCTTCTAAACTTTTTTAATCTCCCCTCTTGTAATAAGCAACTTCAAAGTGTGAGTGATCTGTCCAGGGTGGATCTCTAGTTTGGGAAGCATTTTTACAGATCAGAAATCATTTGTGTACTGAAATCTCAAACTATGTTTTATCCTGTGTCTGTTATCTAAAATGTGCTCCTAAAGATCCTAGCTTTATTCTTTTCTTAATGTGAGAACCCAACCTTCATACACTCATTCTGAAATTTCAAGTATTTGAACTATGCATGCTTCTCTTTCCCTTCCTGTCCAACATTGCTAATTGACGATAGCTTACTTTTCTGCCAAGCCTAGTGAATCCTCTTTTGTACTGCAGTCGTCAGCATTGTGCCTCTTAGAAGCTGTGACTATTGGTTCAGGATTGACAAAAGTGTCTTTAGTACTCTAATTAGTGCATAGGGTGTGGTACCTATGAGTTCTCTGTATACTCAGGAATATTAGCGTTAGGCAGGGGAAAATGTTTCCAATGAAACAAACAGTATGTTGAGTATCATTTCTAGGTAGAAGTGATCTGTAATGCTCTTCATATCCGTCGAACATTAAATAGGAATAATAAGCTGCTAGTAAGTACCGTTTGCTAACTCTCAACTATTGACCACCTGCTATGTGCCTAGTAGATGCTTCACATGATTATGTCATTTAATCCTTGTAATGATTTTTGTAAGGTTGGAATTATTATCCCTATTTTACAGAAAAAATAAATTCGAGCCTTGATGTTTTAATACATCTAGTAGCCTGTCATTTGAAAGTGGTAGAGGCAGGATGATCTAAATTCAGGCTCATTTGACTCTGAAACTTATGACCCTATTACCATATTGGTTCATTTCTCAGATTGTATAATAATTCCTTGGTTGTTTTCACTAATATTGCATATTGTTGGCTAATCCAGCCTGCTTGTGATTATACTGACCAACTCACTACAAAGTTGTCTGCTGGTCAGGACATGTCTTGATTGTTAAAACAACAGACTTTTTTAAAGTAATGGACAAGCACCAATGTCTTAAATTCTTTGTTACACTGAAAATATGTAGTAATGGTTTAGATAAAGTTTCCTTGTTGTAGATACGGAGTATGAACTTAACCCAGACCGACTTAAGTTCAGACTTTCTTTAGAAAAAGAAAAAGAAAAAGGAAAAGAATTTCTTCCTTAACTTCTTTGTTAAGAAGAATTTTTTTTTTTTCCAAAACAGTTTGTTCTGTCCTAGATAGGCACAAGTAATTTTAGTGAAAGAACTGGTTATCACTGTAGTGATGCTTACTCACCCCAGACAAAACTGATGCATACTGTCAAAGCATAGCTAATTCTGTATTCTCTGCTGTGAAACGGGGATAATAATAGTATCTGTGTCATGAGATTAGGCAACAATTAAATAAGCCCACATACATATCAGCTCTGGGAGCTTTTCTTGGTTCTGTTCTAGGAACCCTATGGTTGTCGTTCATCAACAAGTTTTAGTGTCTCTGTTTGTTAAAATAATTTGAATCCGATCGCCTCCCTTTCTTTCTTCTAACACCTCAGCCCAAGAAATTGCTGTCACTTTTCTGGCCCTCTATATTAGCTGCCTCTCACTTCCTGGCAACTAGAATGATCTTTTTAAATAGATACCACATCTTGTTTCTATGCTTAAAATCTTCCCATGGCTTCTTATTGTTTTTTTTTTTTTTAAATTTATTATTTTATTTATTACAATTTATTCACTTTGTATCCCAGTTGTAGCCCCTTCCCTTGTCCCCTCCCAACCCCACCTTCCCTCTCTCTTCTCCTATGTCCCTCCCCTAGTCCACTGATAGGGAAGCTCCTCCTCCCCGTCCATCTGACCCGAGCCTATCAGGTCTCATCAGGACTGTCTACATTGTCTTCCTCTGTGGCCTGATAAGGCTGGCCCCCCACTCAGGGGGAGGTGATCAAAGAGCCAGCCACTGAGTTCATGTCACAGACAGCCCCTGTTCCCCTTACTAGGGAAACCCACTTGGACACTGAGCTGCCATGGGTTACATCTGTGCAGGGGTTCTAGGTTATCTCCATGCATGGTCCTTGGTTGGAGTATCAGTCTCAGAAAAGACCTCTGTGCTCTGTGTCCAGTTTTTTTTTTTTTTTTTTTTTGTGTGTGTGTGTGTGTGTGTGTGTCCAGATTTTTTTGGTTCTGTTGCTCTCCTTGTGGAGCTCCTATCCCTTCCTAGTCTTTCTATTTCCCCCTTCTTTCATAAGATTCCCTGAACCCTGCCCAAAGTTTGGCTATGAGTCTCAGCATCTGCTTTGATACCCTGCTGGGTAGAGTCTCTCAGAGGCCCTGTGTGGTAGGCTTCTGTCCTGTTCCCTGTTTTCTTCCTCTTCCAATGTCTATCCCATTTGCCTTTCTGAATGAGGATCGAGGATCTTACCCAGGGTCCTCCTCCTTTCTTAGCCAACACATGCTAGAGAGGATGTGGAGAAAGAGGAACCCTCCTCCACTGCTGGTGGGATTGTAAACTTGTACAAACACTTTGGAAATCAATCTGGTGCTTTCCCAGACAGTTAGGAATAGTGCTCCCTCAAGGTCTAGCTGTACCACTCCTAGGCATATATCCAAAATATGTTTAAGTATACAACAAGGACATTTGCTCAACCATGTTCATAGCAGCTTTATATAGTCAGAGTCTGGAAACAACCCAGATGTCCCTCAATTGAGGAATGGATAAAAAAATTGTGGTACATTTACACAATGGAATACTACTCAGCAATTAAAAACAAGGGAATCATGAAATTTGCAGGCAAATGGTGGGAACTAGAAAAGATCATCCTGAATGAGGTATTCCAGAAGCAGAAAGACACACGTGGTATATACTCACCTGTAAGTGGATATTAGACATATAATATAGGATAATCATATTAAAATTCTTATTGTTCTAAAGTATCTGGCTTTCATATTTGATAGAAATTCTGCTTTTACCCTTTCTTGCTATAGGCTTTCTGCACCTTTTTTTTTTTTTTTTTTTTTTAAGAACCTTGGATGACACTGGCCAGGGATCTTTTATTCAGTGCTTTTCTCTGTGAAATTCGCTGCTGCTAACTCTATGGTTTCTCAGGCTTACTGACTTCTCTCGCTTTATATATTGTTCTCTGTACTAGGCTGGGAGCACATCCTCATAGTTCACCTATAAGGTGCAACAACTCCCATAAGCACATCTGTCACTACCATTTCTCTTTGCTTATAAGAATGTCTTAATTTGTCTGTATCTACTGTCATGGCCCTACTGAAGCTTCGATCTAGCAGATAAAGAGAAATAAATAGATTTATTTAAAAAATAGACTTAACTTTTAGAAGTTTTAGATTTACAGAAATTTTATAAAAGTTTCATACTTTATACTTCTTTCCCCTTTAATATTTTTCACTAGTATGGTACATTGTTTTAATTAATAATAATGCAGTAATACTGACTTGAGTGCAGAGTTTGTTTGGATTTCTTTGGGTTTTATTTGCTGTCCTTTTTAGTTCTATGGTTCCCACCTAGGATGTCACATTCTATTTATCTGTCCAGTGTCCTTAAATACCTTTTACTTTGAAAGTGTCTCAGGTTTTCCTGCTTTGTTTATGTTTTTGATAGCTTTGATAGATCAGGTATTTTAGTTAAGATGCCCCACTTGTAGAATTTTCATGATGTTTCCACCTTATTAGATTAGATTATGAATTTTATGGAGGAAGATCACAGAGAAGTGGTGCCACTTGCATTACATCATATGAAAGGACGTGACCTATCCTGACTTTACATGGTCTAGTCTTCCATTATTTCTTAGTAGTTGAGTGCCTTATGAATGTCCGTCTGTCCCTTAGATCTTTAAAGCTTCTTGAATATACCAAACTTGCTTTTGCATTGGGCCTTTGATTCCTACCCCTCATGCCACTGAGTGCCCTTCAAGGTGTTAACAGCACATGGTTTATACCCTGACCTCATTCTCATTTCTACTCAAATGTCACCTTAGAGAGATCTTCACTGAGTACTTTATTAACAAATAAAAATTCAATATCTCTTCATCCTTTTTTTTTTTCTTTACCCTGGTTTATTGTCTTTTCCACTTGTTTCTACATGTCATATATTTTTATTGCTGTCTCCGCACTAGAATGTAAACAAGTAAGTTTTGTCCATTCTTCTATCCCCAGCATCTAGAACCATGCCTGGCACATAGTAGATGCTCAATAAGTATTTACCTGTGAACAAGTCTCCACATTACTTTTCTCATGTTGTGGTGTGAACTTATCCTCTAAGTTATGTGGTGTGGTGGGATGCTTGTAGAGCCATGTCATGCACAACACTGAACTCTGCCTTAAAATACTTGCTGAAAATTGGTGTGTTTAGGTAGTTTTGATGATTGTTGGTAAAGGAAAATATTCATATACTTTTAGTTGTATATTTTTCTCTGTTGAATTTTTTTCATATTACAAAGCTTAGTTTTGAATTGTATGTGAGTTTAAATACACTTGTAGTATATAGAAGGTACATTGAAATAACTTTTTTTTTTCTCCTTTAGGTTATTATAGTGACCACATCACCAAGTTCAACCTTCGTGCCCAACATTCTCTCCAAATCCCATAACTATGCAGCGGTCACTAAGCTTGTACCAACATCGGTCATTGCCTCTACGACTCAGAAGCCACCTGTTGTTATAACTGCATCACAGGCCTCTCTGGTCACCACCAGCAGCAGTGGCAACACCAGTTCTACGCCATCACCTATTTCTAGTACAGTTGCAGTAACAGCTGTGGTATCTTCCACACCATCTGTGGTCATGTCAACAGTAGCACAAGGTGAGTGGTGAACCACCATTTAATTCTTTACATGTGTGGAGGAATTTTGAAAACAACTGAGAAAGTGAAAGGGGGAGAGAGAGAGAGAGAATGTGGGCGAGATGGAGAGAGAGGGAGGGGTGGCTACTTTTTAACTCTTTTATTTGGGGATCTTTAAGCCTCTACCCCCTTCCAACTGCGACCCTAGATAGGAGAGAAAGAAGGTTAGAAGGGAAAAGGGATTCTTCTTTAGACTTAGTTCCAGCTGGCTAGGGTTCTTTGGGAAAATCAGTTTCAGTCATCAAGATATCCAAGCAGAACTAGCAGCCTTCTTTCCCCTCTCTGTCTCCTCAAAGTGTCCTTTCCTCTCTGGGCTCTGGTATTTATACAGTCTCAGAGTTCTCAGAGTTTCAGTTAACTCCAACTGGGAAAGACCACACCCCTCTCTGAGCTGCACAAGGCTGTTATCAGCTGTGGATAAACTAAGGCAGTCCCATAACTCACACTTGAAATTAAAACAAAAACATATTTATATAAGTTCTTAAACCAAAACTTCCACTGAGAGGAGAGAGAGAGAGAGAGAGAGAGAGAGAGAGAGAGAGAATATGTTCCTGTCTTGGGGTTGACCTAACCTCCGCTGTTAGGTCAGCAATGACTTGCCTGCTCACCTTTTCTTAGTTTGAGAATATGAAGTGTTAGCAATTTTCTTTTCTCTGTAACTCCTACACCTTGTCCTGTCTTTCTCTCCCCGACCCCCATTACTTTCTAAGTTCTTCCATTGAAAAAAATAGATACATATTGTGAACATGGAAGCAAATAGATACATATTTAACCTTTACCTTATATAGAAATTAGCAGCATATTGTACATGCTGTCGTGCACTTTAATGTTTGGATAGAAGAATTTATAATTTGGTGTTAAGTCTGGTCTGATATCGTAGAGAGGTGTGAATTGGTGTTTTGTGTATATATGAAAATAGTTTATTTTTAGGTGACTGCTACTTGTTTGGTTCTTCTGAGTCTTTGTTCAAGATTGGAAGTAGTACCTAGCTTTTTGGTTGTCTCTAGTGTCTGTCCTTTTGCCTTCCATTAACCAAGGAATGGGCCATTGCTAATTACTTAGTTTGACTGCATTTTTATTCTGTTGCCACTATCTCTTATTTGGTAAGAAATTTTTTTTTTTCTGTCATTTTATCCTTTTCCTCATATCTTCTATGGACTCCATGAATTCCTTTCACGATAGTATGACAGTCTTCTGCTGACCTTAGTTCTATGCTGAGCCTGCTCCATCTTAGGTAGCATGTCGCTTCCAGTTCCTTTGATTCTTTCATTTTATTTAGACAGGTTCTGAAAAAAATCTCTTCTCCACTCTGTTCTTTTTTTTTTAATTAATTAATTTATTACATATACAAGGGCTTTGACTGCACACTGGAAGAGGGCACTAGATCTCATTATAGATGGTTGTGAGCCACCATGTGGTTGCTGGGAATTGTACTCAAGACCTGTGGAAAAGCAACCAGTGCTCTTAATCTCTGAGCCATCACTCCAGCCCCATGGTCTCCACTCTTACTCCATGAGATTCTGTTCTTGTCAAATTTTCCTGTCCTACCAGTTTTGTGATGGCCCACGTAAATAATTTCTTTCCTTTTTGAGAAGATTACTTATTTATATTTTATGTGACTGTGGTTTTGTGTGGCCGTGTACATTCATGACACACGTGTGGAAGTCAGGGGATAACTTGTGGGAATCCTAGGGATTGAACTCAGGTCCTCAAGCATGGCAGCAGTCCTTTTTATCTGCTGACCCATCGCACCAGCCCAGGAATTTCTAAGATTTTTTTGTTTAATTGAAACTGTTTAACAAGTGTGTTGTCTTACTGATTTTCCCCTCTCTTGTTATCTTTTTAAACACGTAAAATATGACCAGTAGTCTTACTTTTATTATCTTTCTTCACTTATACTTTATTTGTATGATTGTGTATGTATCTAGGTGTGTGTCCCAGAGTGTGTGGCAGTCAGAAGACAACTTTGTGGAGTTGGTCCTCTTTTTCCACCTTTATGTGGGTTTTATGGATCAAACTCAGATTGTCAGGCTTACACAGCAAATGTTTTACCCACTGAACTGTGTCTTTTGCCCAATTTATACTTCTTTACATAAAAAGGGGTTTAGGGCTTCATTCTTTTTCTAAGGTTCAAGTTACAATTTTTAACTTATTTTATATTTTAATTAGCCCTTTTTTTGGCATAATGAAGTATTTCAGGCTGGGTAACTTTATGATGGAAAATGATTTGTTTTGGCTTCTGGTTGAAAATCGAAGATCAAGAACTTCCATCTGGTGCTGACTTTCTTGCTTTCAGATCATCAGGATCATGCAGAGTGATCACGTGGCAAAAGACAAGGATCACATATGTGTGCCTTCTCTGAGTTCTTTTTCTCTTAAAAAGCCATTGTTGTTCAATTATGGGGTTCCTCCTCAATTATCCTGCTTAGTTTTAATGCTCTCTGAAAGGCTCTATGTCTAAACTATGATCACTAAGTCAGATGAAGTTGCTTGGTTTTTAAGACTTTTCATTGAGGATTGAGTTTCAGCACATGGGCTCTGGTCTATACCCAAACCATAGCACACATTGACTGAAAATTATCAGTGTAGATTCATTCATAATTCTCCCAAAAATGGACTCATAGATTTTATTTGCTGGTGTTCCCTGTATTTGTTTGGACATCCAAACGTAAAATAAATTAATTGTTCTAGAGTTTGACTGGATTAGTATCTAAATTTATTTGAAAAATGTGATGAGTGATTGCGTGAATAACTTCATGTAAATAAATCTTGATTGACTGACTGGTTTTTAACTAAGAAAGTTTATTATTTCAGAAATCTGTAAGACAGAAGGCTTTAGTTAAGTTAGGTAAATCATTGGACCATCCATGAATTTTATTTTTCCTCCCGAGTAACTTCTTTGTTGGTAACTTCATTGTTGGTTAGATGAGTACTTTGTAGGTATCATAGCCAGCTATGAAAGTACCCAAAGAATGGAGAGAAAATTCCTTTTTGTGTAGCCTGTCTAGAAAAGAGAAAACCTCACCTGGATATTCTCTAGGAAAAGATTCCTCTTATAGCATGTTATCTGTAATTAGCTTTACCTTAGTCCAAGAAAAAGTAATGGAGTCCCATGACAAGCTTACATCAATTGAGAATTGCCCTCTAAAGCTGGGTTAGGTGTCTAGGAAATGTGCATTCTCAAGGGGGAAACATGGTTTTATTAGAAAGGAAGAGAGAAATAAGACTAGCAACCAACAATAGTGATAGAATTAAACAACAATGAAAAAAAGCAAGATGGTTACAGGAAATTTAGAAACTTGTTAATGGAGCAAGACTATAACCAAGAGTAGGCACTGTGATTAGTCTACTTTGTAGATTTTTTTTTTTACAAAAGTTCAAATTTTTCATCTTTTTCCAAGATGTTAGTTTGCTGATGGAATGGTTCACATCCTTCTTCTTTTAACCTGTCCACCTTCCCCTTTCCTAAATCCTTTTTTCTTTTCTGTAGGTGTATCTACATCAGCAATCAAAATGGCATCAACAAGACTTCCTTCCCCCAAAAGCTTAGTGAGTGCCCCTACCCAGATTCTTGCACAGTTTCCTAAACAGCATCAGCAGTCTCCTAAGCAGCAGTTACATCCAGTGCAGCAGCAGACCCAGCAGCCGGTGGCCCAGCCTTCCCCAGTGTCTCAGCAGCCGCAGCCGCAGCCTCAGCAGTCACCACTGCCACCTGGTCTCAAACCTACCATCCAGATCAAGCAGGAGTCAGGTAACTGGAAAGTGTGTGTGAGGTCTGCTGGGAATCCTCAGTCCACAGTTCTCCTTGCCCTGCTGCTCGTGAGCATAGTGTGTCTTCCCATTTATTTATATCTTTTTACTTCTTCCTTCATTGTTTTATGGTTTCTAGTAGGAAAAGCCTGTAAATGTTTTTTAAGCTGCATGCTTTTCTTAGAGTGACTCTAAATAGTGTTGTAGTTTTAATTTCCATTTTACATGTTTATTGTTGGTGTGTAAACATGTTGCTGAACTTGTGTTCTTCTAGCTTGCTGAACTTTATTACTTCTGGAAGTATCTAGGTAGATTTCTTGGGATTCCTATGTATGCAGGATGTATTTTCTTATGTCACCTGTAAATAAGGACAGGCTTTTTCTTCCTTTCTAAGCGGTATTCCTTCCCAACTACCTTTCCTATATCTTCTGTCTTATTTCATCAGCTAGAATGTGTAATAAGTAGGAGTGAATGGAACAGACATTCTTGTCTTAATGCTGATATTGAGTAGAAGGCATTGGGTCTTTCAGTGTTGAGTGAGGCCTGTTAGGCAATTTGTATAAGTGCTTTCTGAGTTGCGGATGTGACATTTCTACTTTGCTGGGGCTTTTCATTATGACATCGTGTCAGGGTCTGTCAGATGCTCTTCCATGTTCAAGGGGTGTGACCAAATACTTCTTTTTGTGTTTAGCTGCTGATATGCTGAATCACATGGGTTGATTTTTTTTTTTTTTTTTTTTTTGTTGAACCAGTTACATATATGAAATAAGTCCTACTTGATCATGGTATAATTCTTTTTTATACATCAGTGGTTTCAGTTTTTATCTCTGTTCATGAGAGGGTTTGTTAAATGTATGTATGTGGTGAATGTGTGTATGTATGTTCCCATGTGAGTGTGTGTAGATGTATGTGAAGGTTTCTGTGCACATGTGTACAAGTTCATGTGGAGGCCAGAGGTTGATGCTGCTGTCTCTTCACCTTATAAGCTGAGGCAGGGGTTCTCACTTGAACTCAGTGCTTGCCAGTTTGCTTAGTTCAGTTACCCAGTATACTTTGGGTTTCCTTGTCTCCACCTCTCACCTCTAGAACACTGGGATTACATCAGGACACCATACCTGTCTGGCATTTCTGTGGATGCTGGGGGTGTGAACTCAGTTTCTCAGATTATCTGCTGAGTTGATATATAGTTGTCTTATTTTGTAGTGTCTTCGTCTAGTTGGTTGTCAAGGTACTAGTGGCCTCAGAATGAATGAGTTTGAAGTGTTCTGTTTTCTAGAAGAGATTAGGGAAGATTGGTATTAATTCCTTAAATCCTTAGCTGACTTCTCCAATGAATCATCTGGGCCTGAAGATTTTTGGGAGCATTTAAATTATGAGCCTTTTTTAATGGTTGGGAAACTTTGGATTAGCTGTTTCATCTTTATTGAGCTTTGGTAGCTTGTTCTTTTTTTTTAATTTTTATTTTTTACATTAGTTACAGTTTATTCACTTTGTATCCCAGGTGCCTCCCTCCTCTCCTCCCAATCCCACCCTCCCTCCCTCACCTCCTCCTATGTCCCTGATTTGTTCATTTTTTATAGTGTTCTGTCTGCATGTGTGCCTGCAGGCCAGAAGAGGGCACCAGATCTCATTATAGATGGTTATGAGCCACCATGTGGTTGTTGATAATTGAACTCAGGACCTTTGGAATAACAGCCAGTGCTCAACTTCTGAGCCATCTCTCCATCCCCGGTAGCTTATTAATTATTAAATTGTCAAGTGGTTATTTATCACTGTCCGTTCCTAATTATTCATTAAGTGGCTACAAGATCTATACTAATGCTCTTTTTCTTTGTTAGACTTTCTAGGGAGTTTCACTTTCATTGAGGTTTGTTTTTTTTTTTTTGTTTTGTTTTATTTTTTAATAGTTTTGCTTCATTGATCAGTTCTTGTCATTTTTCAGTTTTTGTTTTTTTTTTTTTTTCTATTTTCTTTGGCTTCCTTTTGCTTTTTTAGCTTCTTGACTGGAATGTACATTTTGATTAAAGTGCGTTTTTTTTTTCCTATGCATTGTTAGTTCTACATCTATTTAACTGCTTTGATGAATCCTCCTCAGCACTGTTTTGTCAGCATCCTTTGTTGCCATTTTCTTACAGTTTTTGTTCTGAAACCTCTCCTGGGACTTTCTCTTTGACAATTTATTTAGAATTATGCTATTTTATTTCTAAATGTTTGAGCAGCTTTCCCTCCCTTCCTTCCTTCCTTCCTTCCTTCCTTCCTTCCTTCCTTCCTTCCTTCCTTCCTTCCTTCCTTCTTTCTTTCTTTCTTTCTATTTATTATTTTTTTTTGATGGCTCTTTGGTATTGGTTTCTAATTGGATTCTACTATGGATTGAAAATAGTCTTTGTGGTATTTCATTTGGCATTAAGTAACTGGTAAGCCGAAGTCCTGTTTTTTCTTGAAAGGGCCATTTTCTGGCTAGGACTGTGCAGAAGGGACCTTGTATTCGTGAATGTAGCAGTCTGGAGTGGAATTACCAACTTACTGAACTGAGGGAGGGAAAGAGAAATGGTCGTGCCTCACATGTCACAGAGCTTGGTTTTAGCTTTTATAGGTTTGGTTGGGTGGGTGTTTCTTTGTTTGCTATTTGCCACATGATTCCTTTCCAGAAGATTCTTTTTTATTGCTTTTTTTTTTTTTTTTTGAGGAGGGTGTTTCGAGTCAGAGTTTCTCTGTGTAGCCTTGGTTGTCCTGGACTTACTTTGTAGACCAGGCTGGCCTCGAACTCACAGAGATCTGCTTGCCTCTGCCTCCTGGGGTTAAAGGCATACACCACCACGTCTGGCTTCTTTTACTGCATTTTATTTATATTTTGTGTGTACCTGTGTACACGTGCACATGTGCTGTATGAGAGCATATGTTTGTGCATGTTGTGCCATCGTGTGTATATGGAAGTCAGAATACTCCTTATAGGAATATGTTCTTTTTCCACTATGTGTGTCTTTGGGATAAAACTCAGATGGTCAGGCTTGATGTCAATGCCTTTACCTATGGAGCCATTCCATGATCCCCAGAGCCTTTTAATGGTGGTTGTTTTAAAACTTGCATTAGTTCCACTGTGGGATTGAAAAGTTCCTCATGCCATCTCATCAGGCATGGCTATCCGTATGCTTTAGGTGCATTGAAATGATTGTCCTTTTGAAGGCAGCTCTCTGGGCCTGTCACTTGCTGAGAGTGTTGAAGTTCTTAAAAACTTCTTTGGATGTTTTGTTTATTTGATTTGCTCTCCCTTTAAAGGTCAGTTTTGAGAAATAATGTTTTCTTACAATGTTACTTATTTCATCCAGGTTATCAGTTGGTTTGCATAGCCCTGAGTAGAATTGTCTCTTGGTTCTGTGATTATTTCTTGGAGCTTCTTTCTGCTTGGGAATTATGTAGTATTATGGCTCATTAGTAAAAAATGTTAGAAGTAATTTTTCTTTGTATATATTATATTCAGAACTATTTTTAGAATACTTACTGAATTTCTTGGCATTAAGCATTATAAAGTATTAAATACTTTACAAATGTATTTGATCCTCACAGTAGCCCTATGAGGTATATACCAATATAATTTTTATTTTGTAGATAAAAATAGAGTCATGAAAGTTATTTAAGTAACTATGTCAAATACCATAATTTCAATTTCTTTCTTAGCTAATGAAAGTTTAAGATTATCTAAAGCTACTAAGTACGTAGATCTGTTTCCTTAATAGCTCAGCTTAAATCATCACCTATATTAGTTACTTTCTTGTTTCTGTGACAAAAACCGTTGGGAAAGGAAGGGTTTACTTTGATCTGAGGTTAGAGGACCATGATGGTAGGAAAGTAATGGTGGCAGGAGCTTGAGGCAGTTGGTGAGGGAGGAGAGAGTGGGCAATGCTAGTCCTCAATTCCTATCTCTTTATCATTCAGTGCAGGGTAAGAGCCCATGGAACGGTCTAGATCTTCTTTCCTTAGCCTAATCTAGAAAAATTCCTCTAGACATGCCTAGAGGTTTGTTTACTTGGTGACTGTAAATTCTGTCAAATGGACAGTTGAGATAAACCATCATGCCACACCATAAACAATATAATGCATAATTTTCTCTATGAGAATACTTAGTTTTAGATATTTTCTTTAAAGATTAGAGTGGAGAAATGACACTAAATTTTTCTTCTTTAGTTACCACTGATTTAAAAGTACACCTAGCTTAACAGCTCATACTTTTTAATGTTACATTGGAAAGCCAATGTAAACAACATAACATTGTAAATTAAAAAAATTTAAAATGTATGGTGGGCATGGTGGCACATGCCTTTTATCCTAGCACTTGGGAGGCAGAGGCAGTCGGATCTCTGAGTTAGAGGCCAGCCTGGTCTACAGAGTGAGTTCCAGGACAGCCAAAGCTACACAGAGAAACCCTGGCTCAAAAAAAAAAAAAAAAAAAAAAAGAAAAAAGTAAAAAAGTCCCAACATAAATTCCATTTTTTATACTTATTTCATATTCCCTTTGTGTTCTTTTCACATGCATGTTTTATGTAGGTGTAGTAGTGATGTGGCCTTTTTTGGCATTCAGTATTTGATAAAGTGAGTTATTAAAATACTTTTTTATAGAAAGCTATTTAAGGACTTTGGGTAGCGCACTTGCCTAGCATGTCTGAATCCCTGGGTTCAATAGTACCAACAACAAGAAAGTTTTGTTGTGTTTTTGTTGTTGTTGTTGTTGTTGTTTTAAGCTGGGCATGGTAGCACACATCTGTAATCCCAGCATTCAGGAGACAGAGGCGGTAGAATCTTTAGTCCCAGGCCCGCCTGGACTACTCAGTGAGCACTAGGACAGCCTTAGCTACATAACGAGACCCTATCTCAATACAAAACAATGAAAAATGAGACAGCCGTTTAAAAAACCAAACAAAATCTATTCTTAGCCTATTAAGTTTTCATCAGCTTACTATGTCAGTTCAGAGAGTCATGAAAAGTCTTTGTTGCTGAGAATCTGGAAGGGCTATGTGGACTGCTTTTGAGTTCTTATGTTAGTCCTTTCTTCTCAAATACTTGTTTGGAACAGAATATTTTCTTTTGCTAACTGGTTTCAAAACTTGTATGCACACTACCATAGGTAAAAGTCCAGATTTAGTTTTCTTTAAGAAATCTGTTAATGTAATATAGCTGAACTCTTGAATTGGGAGAATTAAGGAAAGAGGAGTTTGAGCAATGGAAGCTTAGAGTTTCATCAGTGTCAAAAAGGCATCTCTAGGGTAAGATTCAGTAAATGTGTGTGACTGTTGCCCTATTGGGCTAACTGACAGTTTAAAAAACATTATTTGTACTGAGATTTATCTTTTTTCTTTCAAAGGTGTTAAAATCATCACACAGCAGGTTCAACCAAGTAAAATCTTACCCAAACCAGTGACTGCAACTCTCCCCACCAGTAGCAATTCCCCAATTATGGTGGTTAGCAGTAATGGTGCAATTATGACAACTAAACTGGTAACTACTCCTACTGGTAAGTTTCTCAAGCATCAGTCCATTCATTCATGTCATCAGATAATTTCCCATACCAGCAGTGTCACATTGCACATCCAGAAACTGAGACACTTCTACAAACAAGTCCTTTTTATTTGTTTAGAGACAGGGTCTATGGCTTAGAATTCTCTATGTAGCTGAGGATGAACTTGAACTCATTCTTGATCCTCCTGCCCCTACCTCCTGAGTGCTGGGACTACAGATGTGCACCACCACACAGGTTTATAAGGTGCTGGGGATCAAACCAAGGGCCTGGTTCATGCAAGGCAAGCTCTCCACCAGTTTTCAAAAGAGCTTTCTTGTCTCCCTCTACTCCTGTCCCAATCCTGAAGTTAGCACTTTTATGATACTTTTTTTTTCATAGTCCTGTTATCTTTCTTTATTGCAGTTACTCCAATTTCTACCTACCTAGTTGTTTGTTGAGTTGTTTTATTCATATTAGACAACGAGCTTTATGGGAGTAAGAGAACAAATTCTTTATTCACCATATGTAGGCACTCAGTCAAAATTGTTGAGTAGCTGAAAAGATGCCCAACTCAAAAGGATGTTACTCTCAAGGTTAAGAGTTCATGTTACATTACCATGTAATAAGTGTTGCCTAGTCTGATGGAAGCATGTTACTTTTCCTGAATAGAAGAGTACAATCAGCTTGTGCTTGAGGTGGTAACAATGTAGAACATTTTAAATTACCAGCCTTTGTGACCTTTATAAGTATTAAATGGTATCAAGTCAGGAGCTAAGGGGATAGCTCAGTGGGTAAAAGCACTTTTTAAAACGTTAGTGTAAGGAACTGGGTTCAAATCCCAGAACTTATATAAAAGCCAGGCCCATAGCAATGCTGGCTGATGTTTCTGTGTTTACAGTGTAGCAAATGTTTCTTTTAACCAGTTATAATTCAAACTTTATACCCTTGTAGCATGTTTACTTTGCACTAGACCTTTTATTTTTTCCCCCCTGGTTCAGATATATGCTGTGATTAGTCTAATTCTTCTTAATGATCTTTTCATGGTTGTAGTGGTTATAAGTTTTTAAAGTAACTTTCTAAAAGTATTTTTTTCTCATGTGGGTAGTTTGGAAATGTCTGTCACATGGTCTCTGAATCTCATTTCAATTTAAACAAATGCCATCTTAGTCTTTTCTATTTTACCTCTTCGTTTTCCTTAAGGCTAATCTTTGCTTTAGGAATAGTCTTTCTGAGTTCCTGGATTTATAGGAAACTGCAGTAGACTCATCTGATTAGTTTTTAATCCTTCTTTGAGAAAGAGAAAGTCATAGAAATAGTGGGAAAGGGTATAAAGTCCTTTGAGAGAGACGTAAACAGAGTTCTAGCAGGTCAGTTAAAGTTGAAGAAATGTGCAAATAGAGATAATTTTAGGATAAAAACTGTTCATGATAATTTGTGGCAGTTTCAACTATATCTAGTAAAATGAGGGACTGATCCTTTAAAAGAGAGAAATCTCTTTAGAGTATAAAACAGAAATAGTATAAAATTTTAGGTAAATAATATTGCTTTATTTGCTGAATGGTGACATTGGATTTGGCTCTGGGATAGCATCAGACAGACACAGTGACTTTAATATCTGTAACAAAAACACCTATGTAAGATGCTTTGGCAGGAAAATGGTTACATTTAAGTATTCACACAAAACTATCGAAAGAAAGATAGTGGGAGAAGGGGAGGGTTCTACCTTTCCTTGGGCTGGTAAGTTAATTTGAATTGACTAGGCATTGGTTCTTGCTGTACACAATGAAAACTGGCTGTAAAATTGTAAATGAATGTCTTGACACCTTGCAATTGCATATTCAAATTAAAGTGATATAGTTGACGTTGGACTATAGTGAATTATATGATTATCATTCCTTTTGTAAGTATTGACAATTTTTTTTTACTACTTTCTTCTTAAAGGTACTCAGGCAGCCTATACCCGGCCAACAGTGAGCCCATCCTTAGGTCGTGTAGCCACAACCCCTGGAGCTGCAACCTATGTGAAAACTACCAGTGGTAGCATCATTACTGTAGTACCCAAATCATTAGCTACCTTGGGAGGAAAGATAATTAGCAGTAATATTGTTTCTGGTAGGTATGTCTAGAATATGTTAAAAGCATGATGATACTTGGTTAGAAGAAAAGCTGTGTTTCTCTACAAGACTCTGTTTTAAAAATTTTATTTATTACAATTTATTCACTTTGTATCCCAGCTATAGCCTCCTCCCTCATTCCTTCCCAGTCCCACCCTCTCTCCCTCCTCCTCCTCCTCCCAGACCCCTCCCCCAGTCCACTGATGGGGAGGTCCTCCTTTCCTTTTCTTCCTTCTGACCCTAGCCTATCAGGTCTCATCAGGACTGTCTGCATTGTCTTCCTCTGTAGCCTGGTAAGGCTGCTCCTCCCTCAGGGGGAGGTGATCAAAGAGCCAGCCACTGAGTTCATGACAACAAGAGTTTATTAATAACAATTTGGTTTTTTTTGCTTCAAGTTGCGATGCTTTGTTTTCAGTCATAATATGTAGTGATTAAATACAGTTTTAGTTTTAGCACTAAATGTTCACATATAAAGCTTTTGATAAATTCGAAGTTGAAAGAGCATTTAGTTTTAAGTCACAATGCAAAGATTATAGTTCATTTTTTTATTTAAAAAATAGTCTCACTTTGACAACCCTGTTTGGCTTTATATAACTTGGTATTGTGCCAGCTCTGAAGACGTGGTCACATGAAGCTGTTCAGTGCCTTAAAGAGGATAATGGAATTGTATTTGCATCTGAATATATTTCAGGAACATAGTTTGGATTTTCAGTTACTGATGTCATTTTAGCTTATTAAACAAAATATTTGATTATCTTTGCTTTTCACCATTTATGCTGTTCGCTTTTAAAAAATATTTTACTGAGATAGTAAAACTAACCTTTTGCCTATTTATTGGTCTGTTGAAACAGTACCTGGTTTTTATTGGCTCATTAATCTTTACAGTATTTGGATTATAGGTTCTGAAGTGAAATGTTAATGTGGTGTTTGTTTTCACTGATTATTATTTTTATTTAAAATTATGTAAATGCTCTGATTAAGAAAGCCTTGTGGATTTTAACTGTCTACAATTTTTGTAGACTAGTCATTAGTCATGTTTTGTCTGTCCCGGGTGAGTTGTTGTAATATTTTTAAAATCAAAGGAGTAAAGTTCCTGGCAGTAATTGGATGTTGCTGATAACTCAGAGAATGGAAAAAAGCATAACGGGGCTTGGTGTTGGCATAACGCTCTGTATTCAAAGCTGTTAATTTTGGCTCTGCTCTTAAATGTAAGTGAGAAAACCCAGTTTTTGACAACCTGAGGAGGGAAGGGATCATTGTGCTGTGGCTTCTAAGTGGATATTTAAGTAACACAGTTAATACTTACTATTTGATGGTACCTTTAAATAATATAAAGCTCTTGCTCAAACACATTTCACAAAGTTGACCTTCATGGGAAGATAGCTTTTTATGACCTTGAACAGCTTTCTTACGTGTATCTTGAGTTCATGTGGTTTGTATTTTATAGAGTACTGTATATCTGCAGGTGTGTCTAGATGTCATAAAGTCTCTTTTGGGACCTTATTCATGGTGTAGCTGCTCTGTACTAGATTAATGTAAATATGCACATCCTAGAAGTGGAGATACCTATCTAATCTGATACCTATCTATAAGCACGTGCGCATACACACACACACACACACACACACACACACACACACACACACCCACACACCTTTGTATTAAAAATGAAATTACTCTTGCTTGGCTAGGTGCTGTTTCATGTGAATAGGTGGTTCGACCTGAGGAGAATTTTAAAATTCTCCAGCTTTTCAGCACTATAGGATATACTGAATAAAGTTAAAACAGTTTAACTTGGTGGCAAATACTTTTACCTACTGAGCCATCTTTCTGGCTCCCAGTTTACAATCTTTACTTAAAAAAAATAGCACTTCTACTTTACATTCTTGCTGTCCTGTGACACTGAGAGTATACAATAGTAATTTACAAAGTCTATTCATCATCAGCTTGTAGCAAATTTAAATAGTTTTTCACCTTCATCCATGAACAGGTGATGGTTCTGACTTACCTGTCTCCCACACAGAAGAAAGCCCGCCCCCTCCCCCAAGACAGGGTTTCTCTGTGTAGCCTTGGCTGTTATGGACTTACTTTGTAGGCTAGGTTGCTGAAATATTTTCAGACATTTGGCTGTAAGAGTAAAAAATTTTGGGAGGTACAGGGGGGATACAAAGTGAATAAACTAATTAATAAAAATAAGAAGTAAAAAGAATAGAAGATTTTAGAAAAAAAGCAAAAAAATTTTTTTTTCTCATTGTGGAGGACTTTAGAAAGGTGCAAGAAAAATTAAGACTCTATAATGTTTTATGTAAATGTTATTAACAATTTATATATTTTTCCATATCAGTAAATGCATTTTGACCACCCCATGATTATGTAATATTCCGTGTGTACCATAATTTAATAGTATTCTTACTGTTGAATGATTTAGATTGTTTATAGGTTTGGGTTTTTGACTTTCAGATTTTTTTTTCTTCTTCCTTGGTTATAAATAATCCTGTGGTGAACACATATAAACTATTTGTGAAGCTCTTGTTTCCTTAGCATAACACCTTACAAGGCAGGTTAAATTTCTCAAAGTAATTTTTAAGAAAAGTTTTATTTTTATTAGAAGCATGTGGAAACTATGTGATTTGCATATTTTTGTGAATGTTGTTGAATGTGATTGTAGAAGTACACTCATTTTATGCACAAATTGGGTTCCTTCAGAGATGAATTCATTATCTTAACCCTAAGGGCATTGTGAGGACCTGGGACAAGACTTGATTGTGACTCCTTTAATCTTTCCAGTGTCTAAACAAGGAACAATTGTTTGTATACTATTTTACTAAATTATTGAATCATTCTTTCAACAGAGCAGCAGAAAACATTACACAAAACCCAAGATAGGATGATTTAGGAATCCATGGTTAGTAGGATCTAAGCCAATAAATTGGTTAAGTCAGCACACCACGAGCAGACCTCCTCAGTGCCCCTTCCCCCACACCATTTAATGCTATAGTTTGTTTTGTTCAGGCTGATGGAGAACTTGTGGTCCTCCTGCCTTACTCACTGGAGTAGTGTAGGGTTACACCAAGCCTGGCTATAACTGTTGGAGTTTTTCATAGTTTGTTGCTACTGTTTGAGACAGGATCTTACTATGTGTTCTAGGCTAGCCTCACACCAGCTATATATTCTAGGCTGTCTTTGAACTTGCAGTTCTTTTGCCTCTGCAGTTTACAAGCATCCTAAAAAAAAAGAAAAAGAAAGAAAGAAAGAAAGAAAGAAAGAAAGAAAGAAAGAAAGAAAGAAAATATGGAATGCATCATTATTATCAGAGCCCATTGTGATCCAAATGTGATTTGTGTTTTTACCCTTTCTAAGCATAGTCTCTGTAGGTAGGTTTCCTGAAATGCCAGATTCTGTATGTGGTGCTATAATATGTAAACATTTACACAGGATTCAGTGTACCTGATGAACCTCAGCAAGAACACTTGCTTAGTATGAGCAAGGCCCTGGGCTTGATTCCCAGAACTGGAGGGGGTGGCGGACGATGACACTAAAGATGCTAACCAGTTTTTGCATGTTCTGTTATGTTATAAAACTGCTGCCTTTTCTACTTTTTGAACGTGTAATACTTCTTTGCATAGATTTCTTCTTAGTTGAAGCTTGTACACTGGAATGTCAGTATTGGTCATTGTAGAAAAGAATGCTATTCTATTTTCATATAATGTTATACTTGTTATTTTCTGTTATTCCTCTTTCTCCCAGTTTGTTTTATTGAACCTCCCTCTGCTGCCCACTCTACCCTGTGCCCCCTATATCCTCCTATTGGTTAAGCTGGTAGACTTGATTTATGACTGTCTTCTAAATCGACAAACCTTTGCAGTAGAAGAGATAGATATTTTAGTGCATATAAATAAAACTGGTTGTTAAGTTTTATCTAAGACTTGGAAAAATGGCTCAGCAGTTAAGAGTGGTGACTACTTTTCCAGAGGACCAGGGTCCAGTTCCCAGCACCAACATGGCAGTTCACAACTGTAACTCCAGTTTCAGGGCATCTGATGCCCTCATAAGAGATATACATACGTACATGTAAGCAAAATACCAATGCCCATAAAACATAAATAAATAAATAAATAAATAAATAAATAAATTTTAAGAAGGAGTTTTTACCCCCCCTTAAAAAAATGGACCTTATGTTTGTTGTTGTTTTTTTATTTTTTTAAAACTTTTTTTTAATTTTATTTTTTTCTTATTAGTTACATTTTATTAACTCTGTATCCCAGCCGTGTCCCGCTCCCTCACTCCCTCTCACCCTTTATGTTTGTTGTTAATTTAAACATATAGTTTATATTTCTTTGAGGTAGTTTTTATAAAAACACTTTTCATTATCAAATATTTGCTAAATTTCCAGGTTTTTAAAAGGCCTTCATAACCGTATATGAGGGGGTTAGAATTAATCAAGAGTTAAAGTTGGTTTAAGTGAATAATGCAGTTCATAATTGTGCATTTATTCACAGAGTAGTTGGAGGAAAAAGCAGTTGTAAAGCTAGTTGGTAAATGCAGGTGCTTTCCAATGTGCCTGCTGAGTGGCGCCTTGGACTGAGGAGACATTGGGTCATAATAAGTGCATTGTGAAGATCTGTTAAAAAGGATTTCTTTATTAGCAATTTCTTAATTGTTTAAAAATATTTTTAGACTTATTTTATGTATATGAATACATACATGCAAATCTGAAGGTGTTTAGCATGCACATGCCTGTTGCCTGCAGAGATCAGAAGAGGGTATCGGATCCCTTGGAACTGGAATTATGGATGGTTATGAGCCACTGTGTGGGTCCCTCAGGTCCCCTGCAAGAGCAACAAGCCCTTGACCTCTGAACCACCTCCCTTGCTCCTTCTGAATAATTCTAAGGACTAGAATTTTCTTAAGATTATTTCATATAATGTTAATCTGAATTCTAAAAAGGAATGTTATTATTTTTCCAGTGGAAAATAATAAAAAATTGTGTAATATTTTTGAGAATAATTGGGAGTGTTTGTTATTGAGTGCCCATTTTGTACTTAATCGTTTACTGCACAGGCCTATAGAAAAATATGATCTGCCTGCCTTTCTAGGCACAGAAAATTTTAGAAGCAAAAATAGAATCAGGCCTGATATGCTCAATATAAAATCAGCACACTGATGGAAAGGTGTATAATCTTAAATCTGTCAGAATTTTGAAAGTCCCATACAGGAGTTTGGGCTTTGTGGTATAGGTAGTGGGAAGCCTCCTAGCTTGCCTACAGTTTATGTTGTTGCCTGTGAACAGGAGGAACTAATGTGGCTAAATGGTAGATTAGGACAGTGTAAGCTGCAGTTTTTGTTTATTGCTTTTAATATTTATTCATTTTGTGGGGTAGGAGTGCTGAGGTCAGAGGACAACTTGTAAGAGTTGGTTCTCTCCTTCTACCATGTGGGGCCTATGGATTGATTTCAGTCACTAGGTATGACAAGCAAGTATCGTTATTTGATGTCCATCCTGTCACCCCACATGTAGGGTTGAGACATTCAGGAGGGAAAGTTGTAACTAGATATAGTGGGATTAGGAATACTCTTTAAAAATCACTTTAACCTGTTTCAGATTCTTGATGTAAAAGGTTTCATTTAGGATGTTGGATTTGGTATGGAACATCAGAACTGTAAGATAGAGATGCTTGAAATGGAGGAATGGCCACATAAATTTAATATTAGATTTGAGGGAAATGCATGTCATAAAGTAAGATTTTTGTTTATTTTTAATGACGGGGAAACAGCTAGTGATAGTTTTAGATTTGGAATTTGGTATGTAGGTCCTTAGATTCGCAAAAGATGATTGCTTTAAGACTCCTTGCTGGGCCTGGTGTTACATGGCTGTAATACCAGTTCTTGGGAGGGAGAAATAGGTAGGCAGATCTTTCTGAGTTCTAGACCAAGCCTGTTCTACCTAGCGAATTCTGGACCAGCTAGAGCTACATAGTTCAATACTGTCTCAAAAACCTTCAAAATAAAACAAAAAGAGTCAGTTCTAAAAATTTATCATTCTGGGATGATTTAGAAGTTACTATTCCAAGTCTTTATTTTTGTCCTTAGGACCACACTCACGTCACCTAAAAGTTGACATTGTTTAGACATGTATTGCTTGTATAAGTCAAACAGAAACAACCAAGTGTCACTAGTCCTTAACTCAGGCCTCCTTTTCTTCCCCCTTCTCTAAGGAACGACTACCAAAATCACTACAATCCCAATGACTTCCAAGCCCAATGTGATTGTTGTACAAAAGACTACAGGAAAAGGAACGACCATTCAAGGCCTCCCTGGTAAAAACGTTGTCACAACATTGCTAAATGCTGGAGTAAGTAAGACCTTGAGCACACTCAGTTTAAAGGCCATCTGTACAAACATTTCCCTTAGGCTATCAGAACCCCATAGTGGATGGAATGGCTTGATTCTCAACTGCTGTGATAGAATAACCTTTACCTAGCATCAACTAATGGCATTTTTCACAGTAATTTGAAAGCATGTTACTCATAGCTGCTAATAGCAGGGTGGTTTGTGACTGTGATTTGAGTGTTTAGTTTTCTTCAAATGGAGAATTCCACTGGCTTAGCTGCAGGAAGCCTTGGAACAATTTTATTCCTGCTTACGGCCAGTAGATTAGCATTTGACTTAGGCTGCACAAAGAGAAACATTTGACTTTAAAATAAAATTAATAGATGGGGATTTGTTACTTAAAGGTTTGTTTATTGTTTATTTTTTCCATTTGATGTTCTGAAGGCAGTTGTTAAGAGGTTGGAGGTAGACACATTTAGGTTTTATGTCTCACTGTTGTAGTTTGACCTTGGGTGACTTATTTAACCACTGTAATTTTTTATTTCTTTATGTCTATATTAGGGTGATGGTAGGTTTTTTTTTGAAAGTGCTTAGGGCAGTGTCTAATACATGGGAAATTCTCAATCCTTGGTTTCTTATTTTTCTTGGACTTACTAGCATCCATACCTTTCCTGACCTCACTAGAAGGCAAAGATCTTTCATTTTAAGTAGACCATAAAAACGTATGTATCACGGTCTTTTATAATGTTAAAAAGCAGACCATATTAGGCCTTTTCTGAATTCACATTAGCAAGCCAATAGTGTGTGGATTTATAAAAGGGTCATGTGTGAATTTTTTCTAGTAGATACTAGAGCAATAGTTTGGCAGGCAGTGCTAGTAAAGTGAACAGCTCAACCTATAGCACCGTTACCTTCAGCACATGGAACATGTGTTTATACTCCCCCTACATCCCGGGCAGGCCCACTGCATGTGCCCTTTCTCAGATGACCCCCTGCAAGCTGGGTGCTGTTTGGATCACAGTACTTGGCTGGGTGGTGAAGGCATTGATAGGTCAGCAGAATGAATCAGAGTTCTTTCTGGAAATGCTGCTGCAGACAGTATTCGAGAGTTGAAATAACTGTCTATTGGAGACACTTTGTCCTTTAGATAATTGTAGTTGATGGTGAGGTTGATAATTTTTGGACTTGGACTTAGAACCGAATTCTCAATGGTTGCTTTTAGACAGCTCACCTGATTGCTTTCCATTTACCAACTGCTAAGTCTGAAAGTTGCACATCTCTGATGGTGATAGCCAAAAATTAAGAAAACCGATAATATGAAAATTGCCAGCTCTTTAATTTTATGAATTTTAATTTAAACATTAATAATGAAATTACTGTATTTGGATTTAATCCAATTAAATTCAAATAAAACTGTGCTGAGATTAAAAATATGACCTAAGTGGTACTTCAGAAGAAAACAATGGGCTGAGGATACAGATTAGTGGTGGAGCATTTGCTTATTAACATTTGTGAGGCCCTGAGTTCAGTCTCCAGCAACACATACACACATACACACACACATACGCACACAGGGAGAGAGACGGACAAACAGACAGATAATCAATAAAGCAGGTGAAAATTCAGAAAATGCTGAAAGGTTAATGGGCTTGAATCTATAATAGACTAAAGTGGTTTTGGTAGCATTCTTGGAAAACGTGAGAAATGACTTAAGTTTTATTCCCCTTTCTCTCCATAGAACCTTAGAAAGAGTGTTAATATATTTGTTCTCATCTTTCCCATATTTCTTTCTACAGACATCCTGCCTTATACCGTTATATGTCTGACTTATATGTGTATGTTTATCTGCTGATATACTGCAGTTTTTTTTATTATGTAACTATTCCCTTCAGATATACTAAAAAGTAAAAATGAATATGGAAAGATGACCTATAATCTTAGACATAACAATTGTTAACATTTTAGTGTATGTTCTTCCAGAAATTTCTGTTTTAATAAAGGTATTCTATGAATGGGATGGTATAAGTTTTTAAATGTTCTTAGATATGGTGATTTAAAAAAACTCATTAATCAGAAATAATTTCTTATTTTGGCTAGAAAGTTGTTCATATGAGTTGTAATATTATTTCAACAAAGCCCAGGGTTTTGTAATCACTTAGAAATCTTGTACCTTGATGCATAATTTACAGTCCTTTTCCTATGCTGGCAAAATCTTTCTGAGTGTTTTTTCAGTAAAAGGACAGTTTTTTTTTTTTTTTTTTACTGGAAAGAAAAAAACAACACAGTTGTGGATTTTGTTTGTTTTGTTTTCGGGTTTTTGTTTGTTCTATATCATTTAAATGCATATATATCTATAAATCTCTTAAATAATAATTGGCTTTAATTTAGGGAGAGAAGACTCTTCAGACAGTGCCAACTGGAGCAAAGCCAGCTATAATCACCGCTACGAGACCCATCACCAAGATGATTGTAACGCAGCCCAAAGGAATAGGTTCCACAGTCCAGCCAGCAGCTAAAATCATTCCAACAAAAATTGTATATGGACAACAAGGGAAGACACAGGTATGCTGTACGATATGGTGACTTAGTGGCTTTTGAATGTTTAAAATTTTCAGATAGAAATTTTTTTTCCTTTCCTTTCCCTCCTTTTCTCCCTTCCTTATTATCTGTCTGTCTGTCTATATCTATTTTGAGGCAGTCTTTCTATGTAGCCCTGGCTGTCCTGGAATTGTGCTATGTAAACCAGGTTGACCTTGAACGCACAGAGATCAGCCTGCATCTGGTAGGACTGAAGGCTTACACCACGATGCTGAACCGAGGTAGAAATGTCAAGGAAAAGATCAGTGGGCTAATAAGAAAAGAAACAGTTTTTTGTTTTTTGTTTTTTAAGTCAAGACTGAATGTGTATTTATTAATCTGTTCTTAAAACCTGTTTTTTTTTTTTTTTTTTTTT